CAGGCAGAGGCTCTGGGTCTCTCGCGAGGGTGACGTCAAAGCTGCAGCAAGGGCTGGAGTCATTTCAAGCTTGACAGACTATAGAATCTCCTTCCGAGCTCACTCATGTTTTTGTTGGCAACAGGCTTCAACTCCTTGGAGTCTGTCGGCTGCAGGCCTCTGTTCTGCACCATGTGGGCCCTCCACGGGCTGCTTGCGTGTCCTCCTGACATGGCTGCTGGCTTCCCCAGAGCCAAGATCCATCCAACAGAGATAGAGATGCAGAGAGAGAGGGATGGGAGTGCAGGACACAGGAGGAAATCACAATGCCTTTTAGGATGTAGGCTGAGAATTATAGACTTTATGCTATTTTCTGGAAGTGAGTCACTAAAACCACCACACACTCAAGGAGAGGGAAATTAAATAACACCTGATGAAAAATCTAGATAGCATATTAAAAAGCAGAGACATTACTTTGCCAACAAAGGTCTGTCTAGTCAAGGCTATGGTTTTTCCAGTGGTCATGTATGGATGTGAGAGTTGGACTGTGAAGAAAGCTGAGCACCGAAAGATTGATGCTTTTGAATTATGGTGTTGGAGAAGACTCTTGAGAGTCGCTTGGACTGCAAGGAGATCCAACCAGTCCATCCTGAAGGAGATCAGTCCTGGGTGTTCATTGGAAGGACTGATGCTGAAGCTGTAACTCCAATACTTTGTCCACCTCATGAGAAGAGTTGACTCATTGGAAAAGACCCTGATGCTGGGAGGGATTGGGGGCAGGAGGAGAAGGGGACAACACAGGATGAGATGGCTGGATGGCATCACCGACTCAATGGGCATGAGTTTGAGTAAGCTCCGGGAGTTTGTGATGGACAAGGAGTCCTGGCGTGCTGCGATTCATGGGGACACGACTGAGCAACTGAACTGAACTGAACTGAATGAAAAATCAAAGAATTTGTGGACATGGTTTTAAATCACCACAATCAGTTGAGAGTCCTAACTGCAAGTTACAGAAATCCCACCTCAAAATGAAATAAACATCAATGAGAATTCATTTGTTCTCCAAATGAAAAGACCCTGCAAGTAGACAAACTTTGTGCATCGTTTGTTCAGAGCTCTGGCTCTATTTCTCTGATTCTCTGTGTGTTGAATCATCCTCAGGCTGGTTTCCTACCAGCAAAATATGACTGTAGAAACTCTGGGCCCCATGTATGTGCATAGAGCTTTCCAGACTGACGAACACGGCACCCTCTCAACATCCCAACAGAGTTCAGAGACTCCCTCTCCTGGGACGGGCTTAGGTCACCGTGACTCACCATGAAACCAGGGGTTGGAAGGCCTAGATTGGCTCCAGAGCACCCCAAGTCAGGGCTGTGGTGGCTGTTCCCTAAAAGCACACGGACCTCCAAACAGAAACCTGGGCCTCTGGGAAAAGGGGAACGGATGCTAGTGAGACAGCCACCAAAACCTACTACAAAACTCAGGGAAGTTTCTGCCAACTTTTAAAAATATGGGGTAGAGAGCATTTTTGTAATTATTGATAGAAAGGGAAGGAAGCAGTAGAAATAGAGAAATTGAAGCACAAAGTAATATAAGCATGCCAAGAATGAAAAGCACAGGCAGAATGGATATTCTTGGTAAGATGGGAGAAGCACTGTTCCTCTGTAAACAAGGGAGAATATATGGTGATTCAAGGCAAAGTGGAGGAAGGCTCAGGCAGTGTTGGCTGGTGAATGGGAATTAGAATGAGGGAGAAGGTGATGTCACTACCTGAAATAGGAGACCAGTATATGGGGCATTTAAGGGGTTAAGATGGTTGAAATGGACAGACTCAAAGGGTAAAGTTAATGGTATTTTTCATATTAGAAGAGCTAGAAAAACTCTGCTGCAGTAATAAAAGTCTAAACCAGAGGAGCCTGGTGAACTACAGTCCATGGAGTCGCAAAGAGTCAGACCTGACTGAGCGCGCTCGCGCACACACACACACACACACACACACACACACACAAGCAGAGCTAGAAAAGCAAAGATGCTGTTATAGAAAAGAAAACCTAAATAATGCTGTAATGGAAGGTAATAGCACTGAAGGGAAATACCGTAGTATTCAATACGGGAAAGGCTAAGAAATAACCAAATTAAAGAAAGTGGGAGTTTGAAGCAAGTTTAAAAAAAAGCAAATATGGTAAATGTCAAAAATGATATTTTAATCTACCTTTCAGATTTTAAGCATATAAAACTTACATTATTTAGTCTCTGCCAGACAGTGCCTCACAGAGTACTGGGGTAATTTTTGAGTATGGGTAATTTTTAATTCTTACCATGGCTTCTAAATCTTGGCAACAAAATGAGGTGGGAACATCTGCTTCTTTTTTATTTTTAAGCATGTAGATAAGCAAAATGAGAGAATGTATTTTTTTTCCCTTTATTTAACAAATACTAAAAGATTCCTTTCTACCTAGCTGGCTTCTGGGAAGGAATCCTGGCCTTAAAATAAAATAAAGAAGCCTTATGTTTATACTCATACACTCATCTGGCTCAGAGTTTTGTTAAGAAAAAGTAGCATAAAATAAAAAGAATAAAAATATTTGAAAAATCCAACCTTGAAGCACAAGGTCATGAAGAAAGGCAACCTTGGTTCAACTTGCCTTAGGACAGCAACCTCGATAAAGGACTTTGATTCAAAATTGGTTAATGGGTTCCAGAGACTGAAGAAGCTGTTATACAAGTATAATGTGCCTTTCTTGGGAAAAAGAAATACCCTTCTGGATACATTTAACCTTCAATTTTGCCTCTTATAATAAGGTGGAAGGAATCAAGCAGACTAGGACCATATGGAAATTAAGAAAGGCCTATTCTTCTCCATGAGGGCACATTTCTCCCACTAGCTCTTTCCCAGGCTGACAATTTACTTTGTACTGGCAGTCTCTTAATCGTTTTGGAAAATACTTCATACTTTCTTACTACCAAACCCTTTGTGGGCAACATAAGATGAACTATCAGCAAAGCCTGGCTTCTCTTTCTTTCTCAAGGCAGAAGAGGACATCAAGATATCCTTGTTTCACATAACTATCATAATTTACTGAGTGTTCACCAGGTGCCGCATGCTATACTTGGCATTTTACATACGTCATCTGATATAACTCTCCCAACAATGCTACAAGGTGTGTACTATCGTCATTTGACAGGTAAAGAAACAGATACAGAGAAGACAAGTATTCGGTCACCTCACAGGGTTAGTCGGTGTCAGAGCTGTATGTTGAAACCACATGTTTCTGAAGGTCACACTCTTTCCTTTGTGCCACTCTGTCTAAATAAATGGAGAGAATTTCCCAACATTTATATTGAAAAGAGTCAACAGTTTAAGGAAATGTTTAATTTAAGAGAAATAAAATATTTTTTAAATGTGGATAGTTCAGTACAAATATAGATTAAAAATCAAATGTTGTACTTTATCCCCAAACTCACTGTAAAATACACTCAGACAAATAGACAGATAGCAGAAATACTTTTTAAGCTCAGAAGCAAAGTGAAAGTCACTCAGTCGTGTTCAACTCTTTGCAACCTCATGGACTATACAGTCCGTGGAATTCTCCAGGCCAGAATACTGCAGTGGGTAGCCTTTCCCTTCTCCAGGGGAGCTTCCCAACATGGAGCCCAGGTCTCCTGCATTGCGGGTGGATTCTTTACCAGCTGAGCTATCAGAGAAGCCCCCAGCTTCAAATGCTAGGAGGTAACTGACAAGTTTAGGGATGACATGAGCATATCAGAAAGCAAATAGCTCAGGCCTGGAGGTAACAAAAAGAACCCAAAGTAACTGAGAAAGGACAACAATTTACTGAAAACCAGTGTGGCATCAAAATTCACTGATGGCTTCATTCAGCTAGAAACACGACATAAACCAGTGCAAGAAAAAATAAATACTGTTAGCAGCGGAGCTAAAGGGAATATAGAATCTGAAAAACAGATTTTTCATGCTGGCCCCAGGAGTCAAGTCACTCTTAAATTAGATGATGTCATGAAAATAGGGGCTGACCATATTTAGCAACATTGACAGCAGGCAGGAATATTTTCAGACTCCCAAGACAATATCAGGAGATGTCAATCACCACTATGTCTTTTTGCACACTACTGGGTGGACAGAGAATAACGCTGCTGTTTTAATGGGTTTATCCTGTATTGGTCCCAGCATATAAAATAAAACAATAATAATACTATAAGCCACTTCTGCACTTTGTCATGAGGATATATACCAGGGTGGTGTTCTCAACCAATGCCCTCTGCCCCCTCCCCAGGAGGGCATTTACCACTGTCTGGAGACTTTTTGATTATTACAGTGTGGAAGGAGGGGTGTTACTGGCATGTCGGTGGAGACATCCTGCAATGTGCAGCAAGCCCCCACAGCTAAGAATTATGCAACCCCAAATGTCTACAGTGGGGAGCTGGAGAAGCTTTGCACTAGAGGAGCCTATTGCATTTGTGACCTGAGGGAAAGCCTTGGTCACTGCCTCTTGGAGTTCTCCACTTTCCCAAAAGCCAACTCTCAGGGATCATCGCTGCTGGCACAGGTGACTAGTAGGCCTAGAACTGTGAACAAAATAGACATGCCACTGTTTATGTTTCTTTCCACCTGAAACAAAGCTGACTGTGGGTCAGGTATCAGGTCGCCTCGGTTGTCACTGCCGTCCCTGGGGTTCCCTGGGGTCTTCTGACACCGGCGCGCGGGGTTTCTGGCTGGATTTGCCCTCCCAACCCGCCTCTCCACCCCCGCAGCAGTGTGTGCAACCCTGCCCCAATGGTGGGAAAAGCAAAACACTTGGGTAATGAGGCGTTTTCTGTAACGTCATTTATTTAGTCTAGATGAGAAATTTTGCTCTTTAAGAACAGGAAGGCTGCGCGAATTCCCAGAAGCTGGAAATCGGGCCAGAGGATACTTATCCATTGGGGAAGTTGATCACTTTGAGTTTACTTATAAGGATAAGGCAAGGGAGGCGGTGGTGGAAACCCCCGATCTGGCCGATTTCCTACTGCTGGAAACTCCTCGACCTTGGAGTGCTCCGTCCTGAAGGAGAACTGGCGCCCGCGGTAGGAAGGGCACGTCGCAGAGCTGCTTCCCGCGGGGACCGCCCCGCCGTCCGGCCTCGCGGCAGGGTGAGGCGGTCTCCTTTCCCAGCTCCTCTAGAAACCGCGGGCTTCAGCGGCTAGGGCGAGAAGGAAACCGGCGGGAGCGGGCCCGGTACGGTGGGGGACGCCGGGCGCGCGGGAAGCAGCAGGAAGAGGCGGGATTCTGCCTTTGTCTCTCCAGCCTCACCCCAGAGCCCCCGCCGCGCGCGGCGCTCCCGCCAGACGCCCCCAGTCCTAGCAGCAGGCCCAAGAGGCCGCCAGGCGCGGCGGGACTGGGGCGGAGCGCACATAGGCCACGCCCACGGGGGTTTAAAAAGGTGCCCGGCGGGGCGGGGGGGCGCCGCGATTGGGGGCGGGGCGTACAGAGGCCACGCCCACTGAGCTTTAAACGGTACCGGCGCTCCCGACCCTCCTGGCAGACTCTCGCCGCCGTTTCTGCGAGCTGTTTTCTATCGCTCAGCGTGGTCCTCCTTCCGATTCGAGTGAGTAACCGGAGTGAGTAAGGCGATGGGGGTGTTCCGCCGATCCAAGGGGTGGGGGTTTCCCCCTCAGCCCCCCGGATCCTCAGGCCACCCTGCGGGCGCCCCTTCCCGTCTCTTCCGATGTTCCCATCGCGATCCCCATTTGGTAACCCCGCCACCCTCCTCACTTATGCGCCCCGATCCCCGCCATCCCTCTCCACACACCTGCCCTGGTCCCCGCGGCCGCCCGAGCCCTGCTCTCGGATCCCGGGTCCCCTGGGCAGAGAAATAATGGTGCATGATCTCCATACCGGTTTCTCCGCGAGGAAGAGGTAGGGTCGAGAGTTTCGCGTGGCTGCTAATCCGCCTTTTAGTAGCCTTGGGCCCGCTCGTCCAGTGGCGCACTCTCTCCGTGGAGGGGAGGGCGGAATCCGAGTCCTGGGGTCTCCTGTGCCCCGAGTGTGCTGTGCGCCGAGGGCGACCTTCCCAGGGGCTGGTTCGGAGCCCTGGGGGTGAGCAGGGGGCTTCCTTAGCCGGTTGAACCCAGAATGCTTCCTCTGTTGCGGTACAGAGCTCCTGGTAGCCCCGTTGTTCGGTGGCCTCTGCCCACCGAGCACCGAACCTTAAATGTTGGAGGAACAGGAGTGAAACGTCATATCGATCAGTCCCAGCTTTTTCCGGAACTTTCTACGATTCAGGTACAAACCGGGAAAGCAAGAATGCTTGGTTGTAAATTCTGCAACAGGTTCTGAAAATCAGAACTGCGGTTCCAAAACTCCACGTAGGCAGCCCCCAGGGGGGAGGGGGGAGGGGGCTTTTCTGAGTCAGGAGACACCCACGTCTGCCCCACCCCCACCCACCGCCCAGCCTGCACATTTGTAGAACAGTATCTGTTTAAATGGTTACTCAAAATGTTTAAGCTGCTTTATTCGCGGTCCAGAGACCAGACTTATTTTTCATTTTCATTTTATAAATACTTTTTATTTTGGGTAATTTTTTAACTCGGGCAGTAAAAATGGCCTCTATAATTCTTAACTTTTCTAATTAACCTGTTTTAAAGCTCTACTTAAAAAATGCCAAGAATTCAAATAGGACAGCCCCAGAGTTGGCTATAATTTGACTCAGATTTTCAGGAAAGAGCTGGCCAATAGATTCTAAAAGGGTAAATTTCACATACTATGTGTGTGTGTGAGAGAAAGGTTTATTGTTACTTGTAGCAAAGAAGGAGAATACTTTCCCAAAGCAGTGTCTCCCCAACAGCAAAACTGGGGAAGTTTTAAGCTAAGGGCACATGCGTATTCATGAGGGGGCTTGAGCAAAGGAGAGTTCAGCATAGAATTGGGACAGAGGTCAGCAGAGTCCCAGCCTTAGTCTATTGAAGTTGGGGGCGGGGGTGTGTCAATATCATTATTCCATCCTCTACCTGGGTGGGAGGGCCTTAGTTCCTGGTCTCAGGACTTAATGAAACCCAGGTTCTTGATGCCTCATCTCAGAAAGAAGTCACTGAGAAAGTATTAGGTAAGAAGTGGAGTCTTTAGAGAGAAACACACTCCACAGTCTCAGAAGGTGACAGACTGACATACTTTAAAACTGTATGTATTCAAGACATACTTTAAAAACATGCCAAGCTAGAACAAATTATATCAAGTCCTCTGTGGTCTCCCCCCACTATCTCATTGGTCATTGCCCTCTAAAATTGATTGCCTCTGATACTTTACCAGTATTTCTCAAGGTTCTTTCTACTCTGAATTCTAGTTTCTTTTTCTCTTTCAGAGTGAAGTTAGGTAGAGACAGGGTCTGCATCTCATGAGTCTTTGAAATTCACAGAACTTTGCTTGGGTATCTTAAACACTGTTGGACCAGAACCAGTACTGGGTAACTGAATGAATGAATGAAAGTTTGAGTAAGATTGCAATTATAGAAAACAAAGGTTTAATTGGACTCAAGCCACGTAAGTATTAGCAGATTGGAGCTACAGTTTCTATCTTGAATTTTTTAATGGATTCCTCTAAATGTATTCACAAATACTGATTGATACTGGTATGTGCCAAATACTGAAGTGAAAAGCCATACTCTTCGGAGGTCTGTCCTGATGAAACCGCCAACTCACTTGGATTTTGAGGAAACTCTATTTTACACTAAAACAGCAAGAATGATGGCACAGAGTAAAGGTTGGCAGTAATAAATGAGCTTGAGAAACCTCAATGCCACTCAATGTGGAGATCTGGGCCTCTAGTTTTTCTTCTTTGTCAAAAATCAGGTAAATCAGATGAACGGGGTGAGTATGCCCGCTACAGGAGAGGAAGCATAGCATGGTGAGAAGGACAGGACTGACTGGCTGGGCCCAAATGCACATCCCAGCTTCAGCACTCACTGCTTTGATGACCTTAGGCAAGTTAGTTTACTCTTGGGTCTGTTACGTCATCTTATAAAATGGGTGTAATAGCACTTACCTTGCGGGGTTCTCGAAGGCGTGCTGTTCCTTGTACTATCCTGTACTTTGTTGAACACAGGGGTAAATGGCTATCCATGAAAGCCTCCTCTGGGGGAGTGCTGCCTTGGACAGTATTGCCTGGGCCTTGCTTGGAGGCCAGCTTTCTCCCTTTTGCAGGTTTCCTCACTGTGTCGTCTCCTGGGCTGGTATTGCCGAGCATCCTTGTGTTCTCTTGGGTGGAGTTCCCTGCCCCTGGGGTCTCCATTACTCAGGATGGTACTACCTAACTTTTTCGTGTCATGTGAAGCCTCTGGACCCCTTCTCAAACTTTTTAAGTACATAAAGTAAAGTTCATGGTACCAAGTTCGCCGATCCCCAGAATTTCAGGGAATCTGTGGACCTCAGGTTAAGAACCTTGACTTAGGGGGAGTTTTCTCAAAATGGACTGTGGAGGAGCCAGGCACAAGTTCTGATTGTTGAACATTTTAATGTAAGTCTCAGAGGAAGAACCAAAAGATGTGTGTTGTAAACAATTTGCAAAGGACATCAGGTTCCTTTGTTGCTCATCTCGTTGTGCCGACACTACTACTAATTGTCCTTGACTAACAGGAAGACGACACATACTGTTGAATACATTTTGGCCGGATGTCTTCCCAATAAGGTTTCGTTGTGGCTTCTTTTCCAGAAGAGAAAAACAGCATCGAACCCTCACCCCTCCCACAGCAGGACAGAAAATACCCAATTTAAAAAGAACTTGTTGAGAGTATAGCATTGACATATATACACACTACCACGTATCAAACAGATAGCTAGTGGGAACCTGCCATATAGCACAGAGAGCTCAGATAGGTGCTCTGTGATGGCCTAGAGAGGTGGGAGGGGGACGTATATCTATATATACACATCTGTGACTCATTCACTTTGTTCTACAGCAGAAAGTAATGCAACATTGTAAGTGTCCTCTCTTGCTAATCTCACACCCAGACTGCTGCTCTCAACCGAAAAGTACTCTACACGCCTCTGTGCGCCCCCAAGTCCATCCTCCTACTGAGGGAAATCTCCCTTCTGCCCAACAAGCACCCCTGTGTTCACCTCACCCTCACCATTCACTGCTAATTCTATATCCTGTAGCCACGCATGTCTTCACCTTGGAGGACAGCAAAATCCCTGACACAGATTTGGAGACTAGCTGCCAGATCACCCATTAGAATTCGGCTACGCTCTCAACTCGGTCACTGACCTCCATCTGCCAGCCACAGCAATCCAGAATCTGTGCAAACGACAAGATATTTAATTACTCAGACAATTTAATGTTTGTATGGTTTTTACATAGTCACACTGAGATTGATCTGCCACAACTACTCTTTATTTGCCAAAAGGTCTTAGGTTGGTTATCTGATCTGCTTATTTTCTCATTTTAAAAATGGAGATACTGCTTATTTATATCATAAGGCAGTTTTGAGATTGGATGATATTTATAAAGCACTTAGAATAATGTCTGCCATGTGATAAGTAGCAATAATTAGAAATAGTTATGTAAAGGGGCTTCCCAGGTGGTAAAGAACCCGCCTGCCAGTGCAGAAGATGCAGGGAACACGGGTTCAATCCCTGGGTGGGGAGATCCCCTGGAGAAGGGAATGGCTACCCACTCCAGTATTCTTGCCTGGGAAATCCCATGGACAGAGGAGTCTAGTTGGCTATAGTCCATGGGGTCACAAAGAGGTGGACACGACTGAGTAAGAAAAATCAATCAAAGGTAAAGCTTACTATACTTATGTTAAGTAGTTTACTTATATTAACTTACTTAATCCTCATGACAGCTGAGGATTATCATTACACTGTATGAGTGGGAAAGCTGAGGTGTAGATTACTAAGTGACTCATAACTGTGAAACCAAAAATTACCAATTCAACCGAAAAATACCAATGAAATTCAAATAGACTATATTGAGTTTATTTGACTGATGTTTCACTAAAACTAAACCACTGCTGGCTGGATGGTTGAAGACACCAGAACAGAAGGCATTCCTGGGTGTAAGTTATAGTTCATGCTCCAGTGACCTGAATGTTCTCCACCCTTAAATCAGATACTAGAGTTTGGGGGACAGCTTGTGATTCTGGAGTCAGACATGAGTGGTTGAACCTATATTTGCATCTCTGGAGGTCACTGATCTGAGCAAGTCAGTTAACCCCGAACATTTGGCAACCATATTTCAGGCCCACTGGTGCTCCCGAAGGAAAAGGAGGCCCACATTTATGGAGCACAGGCTCTCTGCCAGGAACTTTACGCATGTTATTAATATCTCGTTAGATCCTTAACGGTCGTCCTGTGAGAAACTGCTCATCCAATTCCAAGTTGTAGCTGAAGACATAGAGGCTCAGGGGGTCAGGAACTTGGTTAAGGTAGCAGAGCTGATCACCGACTTTCAAGCTTACAAGTGACTGATTCTGAGTCCCACACTTTCTCTTACTCCAGGAATGACTTAAGAGGCGGCGTGTGCACTGCAGTTTCTATGGCAGACATTAAATAATAATCTTGAATTCAGAACCTTGACTGATCTCCGGAATCTTTTTTCGGCATAGTTGCAGGAACTCGTATCAGTGAACAAGATGAAACTGTCCCGGCATCCCTCTGTCAATAGACTTCCCAAACCCTTTCTCCATGCGCCTGGGCTTTGGGTTATGTTATTTTGCTGTTACTTGTTAACATACTTCTACCACCAAAGTAGGATTCCCTGAGAAACTGGCACTCTTCCTTTATCCTTTGATCCTCGGCTCCCGACCCAGGATATGGCTTGTAAGATGCTGAGCTAATAGATTTGTAGGAGAGCTTCATAAACAGTACAGCATTACAGTGTTTATTAGCTGCTCCTATGCTGGAAGAATTACTTGAAATTCAGAAATGAAGTCAGGAGTTAACTAGATGAGGGAGGGAAGTCAGTTTTCCTGATGTTAGAGGGATTATGGGTATAATGGAGGAATGCATGGACTCTGAGATGGGTAGGAGAAGATGACTATTGATAACAAAGACTGAACATGGCTAAATACCAACGGTAAAGGCTGCCAATCATTAGAGGCTGACTAGAAGGACATTTTCTCATCTGATTCTCTATATGAAAGGCATTTTTCATATGAGTTTGTTGACTCCAAAATCCGTTTTCTTAGTTCACCCTGAGGCTGAGCTCTCCTGAAGGCCAGCTTGAGGATCTGGCTTTGGTAGAAGGAGCCCAGTGGAAAATGGAGAGCATCACTCAGATTCAGTCTCACTCAGATAAGGGAAGTATACTAATAAGAAGGTAGTTTGGGTTGAAGAAGAAAATTTTAGAATGGGCATTCATACATGAATGCTCGTGAAGCTTAATTTCCAGTTATTTACAGCTCTCAAACTCTAGCCTCTTTAAAAAGCACTGTAATTGGGGACAGTTACATGTTCTTTAACAAGTGACCCCATCTAGATGTGGCTCAAAATGAAACTGGTTTTATAGTAGATTCTCCCCTTGGGAAGTTAGGTTAAAGTATACTAACAAAGATTTTTGTATAATAACAAAGACCTGCATGTAGTCGTAAAATGGCAGATCTTCTGGAAGCATTTAGAATCTAGGTGTGTGAACGATTCACTTGGCATCAGAGCAATTAACTTAAATTGCAGGTGGTGACATGGAGACTTGAAATTCATGGGTGTGCGTCATTCAGATCCTAAAAGAAGGCAGTTAGAGCAGCACAGGTGGGGAGGATGATCCCTGTGGCCACTGGCCATCTAGAGAATGAGCTAACTTTACCACACGGTGACTCAGATGACGGTGACGACAGTAAGTTGCTTCTTGGGCTAAGTCTTATGGATCCTGGGTGTGGTGCCTTTAGACTAGCAAGAAGCAGCAAAGAGAAACTGCAAATAGGTGTTTGGATGAAAATCAGGATTTTTCATCCAGCACAGTGGATAAATCCTAGTGCTGGAACTCTTTCCGGTAAGGAGAACCAAAGAACAAGAAGAAAAACCTGAATTAGCCCAAGTGTGGCCTCTTTTGCAAGGTGTGTGTAATGTGGGGTTCTCTTGCCATTCTGTAAATTAACACATAGGATCGGGGAAAGGCATGCAGACTGCTCAGTGCAAGTCCAGTCTGCTGTGATTCATTCAGCTGCTGTGGAGTAGTGCAGCCAGGGGCTTGTAGGAAAAATGAAGCTTTGGGTTTGTGTGTGTGTGTTTTAACATATGCATAGCAGTGCCAAGAGTGACAGAAACGGAAGATGGCCCCATTTCCCTCTGCCAAATTTAGCAAATGTGCAGAGGGGCACACCCAAACGGTGTGAATCCGAACTTCATCTTACAGTCCTCACAAGCGCCAACTGTTGTTTACTTGTGGTGTATTGCAGTGTCCCAGAAGAAGGTTTGTGAATGATTGATCAGGTAACTTCTCTTTACTGGCTGTTGCTCTGAGCTGTGTCCTGTGGGTGCTGGTCCGGGGGTTTCCTCTAGGAAGACTACTGGCAGGGTGGACAGTATAAGATGCTCCCCCATCCTCAAGCTGCCAGTTACTGGATATCTGCCAAGAAATTTATGTATTTGTGTTTTATCTTCACAATATCTCTGTGAGGTAGAAAGGATTACCTCCCCCTCCCCCCTTCTGCAGATAAGAAAGCCAAAGATTGCACAACCATTAAAATAGTGAAATTAACCCAGGTCTGTCTAAATCAGTGTTTTCCTTCATCTCTCCCTTCCTTCTTTTCCCTCCTTCTTTCCTTCCATTATAAAATATTTCAGATGAAACAGAGAATAACATAAGAAACACCCAGCTACCCACTATCCAGCTTAACCAATAAACATAAACCCAACTGAATCTCTCTGAGGATGCCCTATGAGCCTGGCTCACAGGGAGTGTAATTCAGAAACCCTGAGCAAAGCCTTTAAGCTGAGTGCAACTTTTAAAAAGTTAATGATTTGGAAATTGTGCTGAGAATCCAAGAACGTGACGGAGAAAAGTAGGGCAGTGCCACCACTGTCTTCATAAGATCGAATTGGGAAGTGTACAAATTGAAAATGGAAGGATTCTTTGAAAACAATAGAGATTACATATTTTAATATATGCCAAATACTCTGGTAGATGGTGGGAGGAGACAGAACTGTGGTCCCCACCCCCAAAGGAAGAAGTTCTTAAAATGCTAAGCTGAACAGCTATTGGATAGGTATTTCCCCAAAAGATGATGACTTACATTTGACTGGCATGGTGTGTACGGTAGGAATCAGACGTCAAGTCTGATACAAGAAGTGAATTTAAGTAACCCTGAATTGCATAAGAAAAGGGAGGATATTCTTCCTTCTTTAAAAGTCCCGAGTTGCTCTACAGTAGAGAGAAACATAGAGTGACGAGTTAGTTTTGATGTAATTTAAATGCTATTTAAAGAAAACCCAGGACAGTGTTAGTCTTGAGAGAAGTCTGACTCCTTACAGGTGATTGCTCCAAAGTAAATATGATACAGGTTGGCATTTCCATGACACTTTCGAATGTGATGAAAAGTGCCTTGACGATGATGTATTTTAAAAGCCAGCTAGGCTGTTGATGTTTGGGATCCGATTTTAAGTCACTACAGCATCATTACCTACAAGTCTGGCTTTGGTGTTTGGATTCCTCAGAATCACGGGGTTACTTCCAACAGATGTCTGTTGTATCTGTGAGCGTTCCAGAACACAGGTAACTTTGGAGCCACTGGGCAAGGTCATTACATTAACTTGGCTCCAAGCTCAAGCCAGGGCAGGCTGTTGGAGCCAAGTTCTGTGTCGAGTTCTGCAGCCGGGTTCAGGTTTCACTGTGGATTTAAACACTGGATTTAAGCACCTGTCTCCAGGGATGGGAATGAGAGATTTATGCCACTACTGAAGGACAGCGTGCAGATATACTTCATTGGTGCTGGGTATTGATCCTATATGATGCCTTCACAGGAGCCTGGTAACATGTGGACCCCAGGAACTACTCTGTTCCTGTCTGAACAAGGGAAATAGGCTTTCTGCAAGTTGAGGCCAACAGTATAGTGATAACTGGTCCCATCAGTCAGGCCTTGGTGTGTCTCTTTGTGTGTTGCTGTTGTTTATTTCTGGGACTAGGGGCTCTATCTCCCAAAGTGAATTTATTGGCTCATATAACTGAAGAGCATGGGATACGAGGTGAAGCTGAAAAGCATCTGGTTTCTCTGTTTTCCTCTATGCTGGGTTCCTTCTCAAGTTTCCTTGCAGACAGCTGCTAGCAACTCCCCTCCTGCATTCGCCCAGTTCTAAACCAAAGACCAGGTTTCACTTCCATTGAACTGGCCTGGGGTCCCATGCCTGGTCCTAAACCAATCACCACGGGGGATGCGGTGATCTGACTGGTGTGACGAGTTGCATGTCTGGCCTTGGAGTGGAGGGTAGAGGCAAACGCCTCTAACCCAGTGCTTCTCAGACCATCTGTGGTGAAGGACTGACTGTTCTCTTTAATTCCCAAATAGAGACTGACTATCCGACTGGCCTCTGTCCGACAAGATGAGTCCACTGATCATGCTCTTGACCGTTGTGGCATAAAATTGGGGAAAGGTTTCTAAACACTTACCTGAATGTTGTCTTGAATTGATAGCAAGCACTGTGGACTGTCACCAGGAAACTGCATCTGAGTAAGTCAGTCTCTTAAACCATATGTGCCAAGAAAGAGATAGATGGTTGCTTCCCTGGAGAGAATCTGGGGAAAGATTCCCAGAAGAGGAGCCAGAGAAGGCTGGGTACCAGCAGGGTGCCCACAACAGTGACTAATTCTGTCAGGCTTTCTTGTGGAAAGACCTCATGTCAGTGTTCAGGAAGCCTTGCGTTCTGGATGGTCTAAACGGTGTAGGATGGTGAGTGGGATGGGCATTTTCTCCACCCTCCTTTTTATCTGAAGACTGAAGATTCTTCAGCTTTTTGCTTAGAGGCTGTCCCCTGTCCCTTCTTTTTCTAGCCAGATTTGAGTTAGTCAGGACATCCCAGCTTTCTTAGCAAGCTATGAATACTTCTACAGAGGCCAGCCGCTCATCCAAGGGAATGCAACAGACAAGGGCTGCAAACGCCCCTGACTGAAGGGAAGTCTGGAAATGATGGTGGAAGCCAAAGGGATTCTTGTACTGTGTTTTTAGATACTGTGTTGTTGCTACGGCAGGGCTGACATAACATGCTGTCTTTACAGGAGAACTCTTAACTGTCTAAGGCACTCGAGCAGGTTGGCCATTCAGAACTAGGCATTTTAAACTGGGTCCAGGGAGACCAACTCATTGAGAAAGAGATGAGAACACACTGCCCTACATCATAGCAAGACAGCCGAGGATTTCGACTTCCAGCTACTCCACCATCTCCCAGGGCGCACTGCACATGTGATCAGTCGCTCAGTCGAGTCCGACTCTGCGTCGCTATGGACTGTAGCCCCCAGGCGCCTCTGTCCATGGGACTGCCTAGGCAAGAATACTGGAGTGGGTTGCCATTTCCTCCTCCAGGGGATCTCCCTGACCCAGGGATCAAACCCACATCTCCTGAGTCTCTTGCTTTGGCAGGTGGATTCCTCACCACTGAGTCACCTGGGAAGCCCCATCAGGCCACACTACTTAAGTTATTCTGATGCTCAGTGAACAATTCACTTCACCAGGAAGGGACTAGGTAACATGTTTTGTATGGATGGACAGGCCCAGCAGAGAGGGACAGCCAGCTGTTGGCTGGACTGGAGGACCCTGGGATTAGTGAGGCACAGAAGCTTACCTGGTGGCCATCTGGATGGAGGTCTGCTGTGCTTACAGCCAGGCTCCACCCATGCAGTTGTGCTTAGATACACAACTGTTTACGCTGTGACCGCCCAGAACTTTACAGAAGATATTCAACTTAATGTTACCGGGCCATCCAGCACTTCCTTCCTAGAAAGTGTCATAGCTTGTGTATGTTAAGGGGGTAAGAGTTTGGCGGTGTTACAATGAAGTAAACGTGTCACAAAGAGCTCTCCCCTTCAGCTGAGTTTGCAGAGCTCATCACAGCCGGCTGCGGCTGGCGGCAGCGTTGGCCTTTCCACTCCCTACACTGCTTTCTTAAACCCTGTGGGTGCGGGGCGGTTTGATTTGTGCCTGGCGACCTGCACGGCCGTCCTTTGTCCTGCAGCAGAAAAAAAACCTGTGCCTGACAGCCCGGCTTCCTAGTGGAAGGGCTGTAATTTGGGAGGCGAGATGAGGTTGTGCTGGAGGACCCGCCCGTCTTTGAAAGATGTGGTCGGGGCAGGTGATAGAGAAATGAACGCGGTCCCCCGGGTCTCAGCAGCCCTCCGCGGACCCTGTGAGGCATCGCGTCGGGTGGGGGCCCGTCCTAACGATGCTGTCTTCCGCAGGATGCCTGTCTGGGGAGGCGGCAACAAGTGCGGGGCCTGTGGGAGGACCGTGTACCACGCCGAGGAGGTGCAGTGTGACGGCCGGAGCTTCCACCGCTGCTGCTTTCTGTGCAGTGAGTCTCCTGAGATCCCCCATCCACCTGCTTCAGGCAGAGGCTGCTGTTAACAAAGTCGACACCCGCGGTCCCAGTGGTTTCTGCCTGCCTGTCCTCCTGAACGGTGCATGCGCCCAGCCTCCCAGCGAGGACGGCGAGCCAGACACTCAGCCTTGCGTCCCCACGGCACCTCCCCTCCATCAGGCTCCGGTGCACGTTATCCGTTGGCACGTCTGTGTCCCCCGCTGCACCCAGGGCGCGCTGGTGTCTGTGGTTGGGCGCCCCACACAGTCCCTGGCGCATCCCAGGGGCTTGGCTCCGATCCCCGGATGGACGGCTCACTCCCCGTCCGGTCTGCCCGGGCTTTCTCGTCCTGGCTGAGCTCCTCCTCCCTGAAACCTACTGGCGGGTTTCTCAGCATGTCATTTGTTGAAATTCACATGTCTAGAAGCTTAGATCCTAACTTCTCCGATAGTGAATGTTTACAGTTCTTTCTTGTTATTGATGTCCTAAATTTGAGGGAAAGAAACTAAGGAAATGAGAATACCGTAGAATTTGTGGGGAATTCTTTTGTTTCTGGATGGAGAATGAGCAGTGTCTGATGGAGACAGGAAGTAGCCCATTAAACAGCACATGCCCGTCTGCTCCAAGGATGAGCAGTACCTGATAAGGAGAGAAAGGGGATAGGAGAGAAGCCCCCTCACCCACCAGGCTGCAGACTCCTCCTGAGGACAGCCAGGTCTTCAGTCTTACAACAGAAGAGTAGCTGCTTCAGAAAGCTCGACGTTAATCAGCTTCTGATTCAAACGACAACATTTTCTTTAATGAAGGATTTGTCACATGAGGAACCCGACCATCCATGCAGCTATCTGCCATCTCTAGAGTGCCCTGCAGTGAAAACTACTGTTAGGAGTTCTGTATGTTTAAAAAAAAATTAGTTACACTAAGGAATAATCAGAAAGAGCGTCCCTCACAAAATTTAGTCATCCTTTTCCTTCTAGGCACCAACACTGAAGGCGTCTGGACCTTTTTATACAACAACTGCTTTGCAGGCGATCAGAAACACGAGAGTTGCAGTTACAAAGAATACAAACACAATGTATGAATGTCTGCTATGTACACCTACATAACAGCTAGCATGTCTCAGATTTGGTTTAACCATTTCTTCTCTTAGAAGTTAATTTTCTTTTAAAGGAATCTAATTTTTCCACAGCTTTGTACCAAGAGTATAAGAACAGAGAGGAAATGCAGATACTTGAAAAATTGTTCTTAGTATCCTCTAGGTTAAGCCATGATGTCTACACCATAATCAAGCCAGTGTTTGTTCAGTGTCACGGTTATTACTGGTCATTTTTATTGCTCTTTCCTAATATTTGCCTCTGCTGACTAAAGCCTTTTAATTTTTTTCTTCTAAAGCCTTTTAAGGAAATAGTTTGTAGACCTAGAATTTTACTGCATAGGATACAGATGAGGCCTTAGGGGGAGGGGGTGGTTCTATAGTAAAAATTTCATATATTTAAACTTGTTCTGGTTCATAGATACGTGTTAACAGTTTGTTTTCTGTGTATTCTGTGAAGGGTGTTTGTTCTTTAGCAGTGTACAATTTTAGGTTAACTGTCTTTAGGCAGACATCCGTACATCAGTATTTGAGCCTCAGCATCAAGGTTCAAAGATGATGATGTTATTCTGTTCTACCAGAGAGGACTTCAGTCTAAGATAACAGAAACTTCATCAAACTCTTCTCTGAAGCAGCCTTTCCCTGCCCTTCTTTCTGTCTTTCCTCTTTTCATTTCTCCCTCTTTAAGAAAGAGGGGGGTGGAAAACCCCCTCTCTTGCTGCACTAATGTGGGGTTTCCTGCTGCCCAACTGTGCCACCAGTGAGCTTTCTCACAATTCTTTTTTCCTCCAGCTTAATTGAAGTTTTAGAAAGTGAAATAATGTCTGGATAAAACTTGATGACATTTGGCAGTTTTATGAAGTGGGATATGTGGAAATGTCTTGTGGTAAGAAATCCATCAAGAAAGAATGTGTTCCCCTTTGGGACTGAAGGGAGACTTGAAACCACTTGAAATCAGACTTGAAACCACTTGACGATTTTCAGACGTACTTATCACTGCTGGAGAAGCCGCTGGTGAGATGAGGGAAGACTGTTTTTTTCCCTTCCAGACTAGTGATGACAACTAGAATTCTGGATTTAAAACTGTGCATCCCAGGAGGTGCTTTTGGGGGAGGAGGAGAGGCCGCAGAGGCAGCCCCGCCCCCTGCCCAGGCAGGCCTACCCTTTTGTTCTTTAACAACGCTTGGATGAAGGGGATGAAAAGACTGGGTGTTAAGGGATGGGAGCAAAAGCCTGGGCACAAAGTGCTAGCTTCCTTGCTTTGTGCAGGTTATCGGTCACCTCTGAAACTTCTCTCACTCCCGCCTGGGGGGCAGATCCTGCCACCAAGTCTGAGGCTTCAGGATGTTCACATTCTCATGTACTTCTAATGCAAACCATCATGTAGGTGGGGGAAGGCAGAGCATTCGTGTGGCTTTTGGGAACCAGAGAATACAGCAGGACTGAGCGCCTGTGCCTTTCCCGATTCTAAGTTTTGCATCAGCGTTATCTTTGTTCTAAGGAAAAAGGCACATTTTTAAAGTCTAACTTTCCCCCCCTCAGTGGTCTGCAGGAAGAATTTAGATAGTACAACAGTGGCAATTCATGATGAAGAGATCTACTGCAAATCCTGCTATGGAAAGAAGTACGGGCCAAAAGGCTACGGGTACGGCCAGGGCGCGGGCACGCTCAACATGGACCGGGGCGAGCGGCTGGGCATCAAGCCCGAGAGGTGAGTCAGGACTCTGACCGGCAGGGAGGAGCAGTGGCGATTCGTGTGGCTTGAGCAACGGGGAATCTTGGCGTTTCCAGGTTTTTAGCTTGAAATAATCAAAGACAAGGACTCAGATTTACTGCTGTCCTTTAAGCTTGAAATAATGGACAGTTTTAGACCTGGCAAAGTTCTTACTGGTTATTCTAGTGATTTCCAGTCCTGGTTTATAGCATTCTGAGGTGTATCAAGGAGTAATGATATTCTCAAAACCAAGTGCCACTTTCACAGCACTTCAAAGACGTCAAATGCAGTGTCGGAATCCAGAGATGCATTTCTCCTATGCAGTCACGCAGTTGCCGACAATTCCTTAGTCACTCCCTCCTTGCCAGAATGCTTCCTCACCAAGACATGACTTTTCTTTAGCTTACTGAAAACTGGAAATTTTTTCCTGTATTTGATTCTATGAGATGAGTTGCTATTAAAGGTGTCAATACCCAAGTAAGCTAAGTGCTAATAAATCTGCTAAATTTTAGTGATCCATGTTGACACTAATTTCTTCATGTGAAACTTAATTTCTTTTGTTGACCCAATAATTCTCTCATTAGAACTTCATATTTTTCACATCCATTTTTATACTGAAGAAGCCAAAAGTAGTATAATAATCCTGTAAGATGGCCTTTCTCTTGGATAAGGCCATTAATTGTGCCCTTACTCTAGACTGGACACCATGCAATAATATATGGTAACTCATATAGTTCTCGCAGTCCTATAAAGTAGGGTTTCCCATCTTACTCAGGAACAAAGTAAGACAGAATTAAGTGATTTGCCTAAAGTCACAATGCTAGTTAACTGTACAGCCTGGAACAGTGTAACTCCAAAGCTTATAATCTTAAATACAAAGCACTATGGTATGCCTGAAATGTCTGCTGAACATTTATGTTCATTCTATATGATCTTCATAGTTAACTGAGTTTAGATACTTTGTCCCTGTTTTATAGACAGGACACTAAGGCTCACCTCACACAGGTAAGCAGCAGAGCTAGGATGTGAACATTGGTCCTCTTGACCCCAAACCTGTGCTCCTTTCTGTGTCGAAGCCCACCTCGTTTCTCCTCTCTGAGCCACAGGGCCTTGCTGGGCATCAGTTGTACCAGGACTGACTCATTCCCTGCTGCATGCCATCACTTGCAGGAAGGCCAGCTTACCTCTGACTTGGTTAAAGTTCACTGTTCTTGTTCTGCTCTTCTTTTCCAACCTGTTAAAATCCATTCTTGTTTCCCAAGATTTTATTTCAAACACAGATCTGTCCAGCTTCCCCCCTAAACTAAGCTCATCCGTGACCCCAAAAGTGTCACCAGGACCAGTGGCCCGTCCTTATCTGCTCTTCCCATTCTCTAGTAACCGGCCAGTGTTCCAAGCTGGCCTCTGTTGATCTGTGCCCTCACCTAGTCCCTGCGTTAGCCTGGGCCTGTGCCATGCACCCAGCAGGACCAGGTGCAGGGTTTCCTTTTCTGGACGCCTCTCCCAGTGACTGCACCCTGGGAGCACCTGTGGTCGGGATGGCCCTCACGGTGCGTGGTCAGAGCACCAGGCGTGGGGGGCACACAGCTCCGGGAGACTTTCTTGACGAGGCCACACTGAGGGGGCAGGAACATCTTCACTGGGGCAGACCTGCATTATTTTAGTTTAGGCTCACCAATTTACTAATGCTCTAGCTCTTCAGCAGGTTATTCAACACATTAGCCCATGTTTCCTCATCTGACATTCAAGGTAACTACTAACCATACCTTCTGAGGTTGTTAGTTCCCTAGTGACTCAGAAGGTAAAAAAAAACCACACACACAAAAACTGCCTGCCATGTGGGAGAGCCAGGTTTGATTCCTGAGTCGGGAAGAACCCCTGGAGAAGGTTATGGCAACTCAGTCCAGTACTCTTGCCTGGAGAATCCCATGGACAGAGGTGGGTCACCGTCCGTGAGTTTGCAAAGAGTCAGACACGACTAAGTGACTTTCCCTTCCGAGGTTGTCGGAAGGAAGGTGGAAGATAATCCATACGAAGTTCTTCTCAATATAACTAGTAGATCTGGAAGTTTTTCTTGGAGAACACGTAACTACAAGTGTTGGATATTGTGAATAGCTTTTAAAGATCACAAAGCAGGTGCAAGTATCCTTTGGTATCTGCAGGGGATTGGTTCCAGCACCCTTACGGATACCAAAACCCAAGAATGCTCAGATCTTATACAAAATGGTGTAGTATTTGCATGTCACCTACATACACTCTCCCAGGTACTTTTAAATCACCTCTAGATGACTCATAAGACCTATTACAATGTAAGTGCTATGTAAATGGTTGCTGGAATGTGGTAAATTCAGGTTTTTCCTTTTTGGAACTTCCTGGAATTTTTCTTCTTGAATATTTTCAGTCTGAGGCTGGATCAATCTGTGAATGTACAACTTGTGGATCAAGAGGGCGAACTATATATATATATATATACAGTGGGTTGTGGAGTTTTAAAAATATGCCTATTTACGGACAGTTCAATCCTGTGAATTAGTACTGTGAATTGGTATTTGTTGCTTAGAATAAAATTTCCAGTGGCCACATCAAACATGATTCAAGAAATGCTGTGCATGAAACAATTTAGGTAGGTGGAAATGTAGGAAACTTGGAGATGAAGATATTAATGATACATATGAAGTTTGAATAAACTGTCTTATGAAAAGGTGGTATTTCTCAGTAAACATTTCATTTAAAATATATATGTAAGTTACTTAATAAAATATAACTAGGATTGTTTTCCTAGGTGGAAAAACTGACACTTAGCTACCCTTTGCTGAATGCTAACTGTTGTTAATTTATCTGCTCAGCCTATGTGTAACGTTCTAGAGGAACCTTTCAATCTATTCAGAGCCCAGAATGGTGTTCTGTGTGCAGGTGCATCTATATAATGAATAGAGAGAAATTGCAGAACAAGGAAATAAGGTTTTATCTAATGACAAAAACAGCACTCTATACAGAGAAAAAGTAAAATATAGGCAGATCACATAGTAATAGGCAAACTTTCTGAAATATTTTTCCATGAAGAAAGTCATTTATTTACACTTGCCCCCAATATATTGGGGAATTAAATAATCCATAAAACATACTTAATTTTCATAATTCTGCCTGTATGCAGAAACTTAACTGCCTAAACTACCACTGATTTTTTTCTCTTTTTTGTGGAGAAGCTAGCTGTTAATTCCAGTGTTATGTGAACAATAATATAAATGTGGGGTGCACATACACGCTGTGGTAGGTTTAGTGCTGAGGATTCCATGAATTCTGATGAGTTTAGACTCAGAGGGACAGATGCTTAAGTCTGGAGCCTTGTCTGACTTGGTAACAATAATGAGCCCATAAATAGATTAAGATAATCACTGGCTAGCCCCTGAGATGTCTTTCTCCTTCGCCCTGTCCTGGCCTGTGGAGGCCTCCAGCCAAGGACAGTGGAGCAGTTACATCCCAGAGTTCTGCTGTGTCGGCCTTGTGGCTTCCGAGAGCCTTTTGGGAAATCTGACCTAGCTCCTTTCTTCCCCTTTCCACAAGTGTTCAACCTCACAGGCCGACAACAAACCCAAACACTTCTAAATTTGCTCAGAAATACGGAGGTGCCGAGAAGTGTTCCAGATGTGGGGATTCTGTATACGCTGCCGAGAAGATCATTGGAGCGGGAAAGGTGAGGTGCTGAGTTAGTTGCCTGCTCTCTGCTCCCTCCCCCCAGGTCCCTTCAGAGTCCACTCAGGCGCTCAGCCTTATATGTCAGTGCCTTGAATTAAACATTTTCTTAATCAGATTTCCATCTGAATCAGTAATTTTTTGAAGTGATCCCCTTGTTTGACAGATCACATCTATGTTTAACAGAAACTTGTTTTCATAGGGGGCACTTATGAAGGTGTTAACGAATAAGGCCAGACTTTTAACAAACCTGGACTCCACAGGTTTTTCAGTGTGGTGAAAGGGGAAAAAAAAAGAGGAAGCAGTGACTTAGTCAGGGCCCCTGATATGCTTCCCCTCTTTAAGCTGCAGTGTTCTCAACCACAGAGGAGGCAGTCCTTAAAGGGGGCGCGCTACGCTTGAGGCGCGCGTGGACAACTCCGGGAAACGGCCCTTCTGTGGAAACGGCTCCTGCTCCGTGTTCTGTGGCAGCTGGCCATGCAGAGGGTCTGCTTTCAGCCTTCTGGTTGGGGCGCACCCACGGAAGTCAGGAGCCCATGTGGGCTTGATCTTCCAGCACCTAAACTTACTCATTCTTCTCTTCCAGCCCTGGCACAAAAACTGTTTCCGATGTGCTAAGTGTGGGAAGAGTCTTGAGTCAACAACTCTGACTGAGAAAGAAGGTGAAATCTATTGTAAAGGTATAACTTAACTTCAGTTATTGCTGTCCATATGAATATCCCATACTGGCTATTAGTGAAGAAAATGTCACCAGCAGGGGGGAAGAATACTCTGAAAATGGGGAAAAGGTGGGGGATAGTGCCACTGGGTATTTGAAAAGATCTAGAGATGCTTACAGATAACAGAAGACCACAGAACATTCTGAGGACACAGTAAGTTAAGTTCCCGGCCATTTAAAACACCCCTACATAAACAACAGTCTTCTTTCAACTTAAATGTTTTAAGCAAAACATATGAATATATGAGGGTAATAGACAAATATATAACTAGTCTGCTCCCAACTTGCAACTCAGTCGGGACCATGAGCTGAACCCTAGGGAACTAGAACACTCAGACTTAAATTTGTAGCTTTAAGATAGTTACTGTAAGGCATAGACAGCAGGTTTTTATAATTTACGGAGGTTTGTTGATACATGGGTCTTAAGCAGTGCTAGCAAAGCTTAATGGACTTGCACTAATTCTTCCCTTTTTTTTGTAGGATGCTATGCGAAGAACTTTGGGCCCAAGGGATTTGGCTATGGCCAAGGAGCAGGAGCCCTTGTTCATGCTCAGTAGAGGTGCAAACCCAGAACCGAGAAAGATCACACACTGAGAATCTCTACATAATCTAGGCACAGATAATCTAACACTAAACTACTGTGAAATTCTACAGTACTGAAGTACTGTATGTTGCCCTGTACTTGGATAGGCTGGCTGACTAGTAGGAAGACAGGACTATATCTTTTCACTTTATTCATCAGTATTTCAAGAACTATTTCTTTTACATTTTAAATAAAACTTCAGCTTGATTTGGGTATTCATTGTCTTTCAGTTAACCTTTTGGAAGAGTGCTGTGATGTTGGCTAGCATAAAACTAACCAGTGGGTCCCCACATGCATTTTGATTGGTTAAAGAGCGTCTACCTGCCCCATCATGTGGTTGACTCGCCAGGTTAATCTCTGCATTACAGCTGTTGGAAAAGATGGCTCTCTAAGCAGCAAGTGTGCCCCAAGTGAGGGTTGCTAGGCAACAGGCCCACCATGCCAGCGCCTCAAGCTGGCATTTAGCAGTGCAGAACTCCTGCCTGCCTGCCCCCCTCAAGCGCAGTGGGCGCACTTCTGTTGTTGGATGCCGTCTCCTAAAACATGGCTCCTAGACAACCTGCACCAGTCACCTAAGGGTATGAGAAGGCAGGTTCCTAGGCGCCACAGAAGCAGAATCTCTAGCAGTGAGGCCCTAGAAGCCCTTCTAAGCAAGCTTCTCAGAAAGGCACACTGACCCAGGGTGAGCACATTGTTAAACAAAACACTTAGAAAGTCTTTTGATTTATCTAGATCATTACAAATAGCTACCTGTAGACAACTACAGAATCTGAGGCTTAGTGAGACCCCACTCTCTGGTAAGATGGTGAATTGCTAATCCAGGAAATGGGTGATTATCTTGCAAGTTTCAGTTCTGCAAAATCAGCAAAGAATGTTACATTGTTGTGGCGCATTCAGCTGGCTCAAGTAGAAAAGGAATGTTAGACTATATGAGGTATATTTTCATTATTTCTCCAGAAACTTTTAGTTCATTATCAAAGACTCAACCCTTTATTTTTCAGGAGCGGGGTGTGAAATTGTTCTGTAATGTGTAATTATAAAATTGAACCAGCCTAGTGTGTGAATCTCTCTTTATCTTACATAACCTTAGTGGGAAAAGACTAGTTGAGGGTGTACCAGGTGAAGACAGCTCATGATTATTGACATCACAGCCTTGAACACTCTGCATGTTCCATAAGCTAGGTTTCACTGTGAGAAAGGGGACAGCAGGCTGGGGAAGTTCATCAATAAGGGACAGATTTCCCTCGCAGTCCAGTGGTTCAGAACCTGCCTGCCAGTGTAGGGAACATGGGTTTGATCCCTGCTCTGGGAAGATTCCACATGCCTCAGGCAACTAGGCCCGTGCGCCACAACTGCTGAGCCTGTACTGGAAAGCCTGCGCGCTGCAATACCAGAGCCTGTGCTCTGCCACGAGCGCAGCAGTCCCTGCCTGCCACAGTTAGAGAAAGCCTGCACAGCAGTGAAAGCCCAGCACAGCCAAAAAAGAACAGTATGCAAAAATTAAAACAATAAAGGGTACAGGGTTATGAAGAAGACTTACGTAATAAATTTAATTCATTGTGTGGCAGTTTCAAATGTGTACAAATACTTTTGGCAGCTCCATCAAAAGATGGGAGTCTAATTACCGTTCCCTTGGAGTAAGGGTCAACTTTAGTGGCTCATTTTTATAACAGTACATATAATGTACCAGGCTAGGCTAGAAAAGACAACAAAGCTACCTGCCCGTTTCTCTCGAGATGCTTGCTCTTGGGTGGGGAGGCCACATGTAGGTATTACAGCCATAACCTCAGCTAAGATCTCCCTCATCAGACAGTATCAACAGCTTGCAGACTATTCCAGTGCCCAGTTTTTTGAACCATCCCTGTCGATACCAACTGGTGCAAAGTGAGTTATTCCTGTTGAGTCCTGACTAAATTGCAGATCTGTGAACAAAAATGCCTTTTTAAGCCACTAAACTTTTCAGTGCTATAGATAATCAGAATTTAACTTACCACAGAGCCAACATTCCCCATCATACTAGGTTTCCCAAACTATTGCAGATGCTAACAGATATTCAAGAGGAAAATACATGAAGTTGTCAGGCACCTGATAATTTGAAATTTAAAGTTTAGCCACCGCCCCCCATTCAGAATTAAATTTATTCTTAAATTGGGAGCCATGGCAAAACAGCTACTCCAAAACTATAAAGGTTCCAGTGGTTCCAGGAGTAGAAACAGAAATTTGGCTTTGAGTAGGCTCTGTTCTGAGAGGCATCGCTTTCATCATTTAGAAGTAGATCAGTATGGCAGCCCCAAATTAATCCAAATGTGATAAGTGTTGCATCGTAAATACCAATATTTTTGTTTTAAAAACGACCCACTTGGGATATTGGCCCCCATAGGGGCCAAACCACTCAGGCCCCTGTGGTGGTTTGGTAGATTTGTTGCCAAGTCTAGCTCTGAGGGGCTTCCCTGGTGGCTCAGATGTTAAAAAATCTGCCTGCAATGCATGAGACCCGAGTCCAATCCCTAAAAAGTTTCCATGATCAATTAAGTTTAGGGAGCGTCACGGCCATCTCTGTCTATACCTATGTTCCTTTAGATTCACAGTGCACATCAGCATACTCAAGTCTTGAGACTTGTGGTGAGAAGTCTGTTTTAGCTTGAAGAAAGCCTTGCATGGAATTAACTGTTCATGGAACCATGAACGTCTCAAGGAAAAACACTGGGAAATGATGGCCTGGACCACTGGTTCTCCAACTTTCTGACTGCAGGACCTCTTTACATTCTTCAGTTACTGGGCCCCCCACCCCATCCCACCCCCCTCCCCAAAGAGCTTTTGTTTATGACAGTTAAATCTGTCATTACTTTCCATATTAGGAAATTTTTTAAAAATTTAAAAAATATATTAGCTCAGACTTATGGTCAAGCTGAGATTGACAGGAACCAGATTCACCTCACTTGAAACAAAGACAAATTACATGAAAAAATAAGATTTTGAGAACTGATAATAGGCAACAAAGGATAGTTAAGGGGAAAATGAGGTCAGCCTTGAAATTAGCAAGCTTATTACTCATTTTGGGAGCTGGGCTATAGTGCAAGGAAGGGGAATAAATGAGGGAGCTGGAAGGCACCCCAGTTGAGACAGAGCTGAGGGTCCAGAGGGACCAAGGCGGCTAGAGGTGGAGGGGCTGGAGAGAACTGCACAGAGCAAGAACCCCAGGAATTCGTAAAGTCCCGCCTAACCCCCAACGTGAAGTCTTCAGCTATGTTCTGGACTGAACATGCGTGTGAGGTGACTACTCAAGAGTATGGAAAAAATCATCTGAAAGATGTAGACAGAACAGTGTCTGGTGCCCGTCCAGAGCTGGGAATAGTGCCTACTCTCATCAGTGAGATCGGGAAGCGTGACTCATGGAACTCTGGATGGAATACACAGGTCTTGCTTCAGTAATGGCGAACAATTAACCCTAAACTCAACACTGCTCTGGTCCTGCCTTAAAAAACCCTGCTTATCAGCAAAACCTGAAAGGATCAAAGTTTCCAAATAATTGCATCCCAGAGCAATGCTCTGCAATTTCTATAGGAATAAAAAATACCCAGTACTCAGTTTCTAGTGTCTGGCATCCAATCAAAAATTACCAGGCATTTGCAGCAACATGGATGCATCTAGAGATTGCCATACTGAGTAGAGTAAGTCAGAGAAGGAAAAATATGGTATGATATCCCTTATATGCAGAATCTAAAATGGCTCAAATTTACAAAACAGAAACAGACGCATAGATTTAGAGAAAGAACTTATAGTTGCCAGGGGTAGGGGGAAGGGATAGTTAGGGAGTTCAGGATCACCATGTACACGCTGCTATATTTAAAATGGATAACCAGCAAGGAGGTCCTACTGTATAGTACAGCAGAGAGAACTCTGCTCAATGTTATGTGACAGCATGGATGAGGGGGAAGTTTGGGGGAGAATGGATACTTACACTATATGTATGGATGAGTCCCTTTGCTGTCCACCTGAAACCATCACAACATTGTTAATTGGCTATACTCCAACATAAAAGTTCCAAAATAATAGTAATAAAAAAAGTTAAATTTACCAAGCATGCAAAGAAGCAGGAAAAGAGTCCATAATGATGAAAAATAAAATCTATCAGGACCAACTGAGACCTGATATACATTGTGATAATTAGCAGGTAACAATATTAAAACAGCTAATTGTAACTAGTCTATTTTGAAAGCATTAAGTAGCAATCAGAAGATGTAAAAATGGTTCAAAGAAAGCATTGTAGGTGAAAACTATAACGTAGCAGATATAAAATACACCGAATAGTACTAATGACAGACTAGACAGTGCAGTAAAGAACTTAAGTGAACTTAAGAGAATTTCAATAATGAATTATCATTGAGCTGCAGGACAATCTCAAATGGCCTAATATGTGTGTAACTGGAATTTGCTGAAAGGGGGGGGCAGAAAAATATTTGAAATGATGACTGAAAAATTTCCAAATTTGATGAAAACTGTAAAACTATAGATCCAAGAAACAGCATTAGTAGCAATGAGGCTTCCTAATGCTTTGGATGGGAACAATCCCTCTTTCTTACTTAGTACCAGAAACACTGCTGTGTATTAAAAAGCATTTACCAAGACGAGGGTGGGACGATATGAGAGAATAGCAATGAAACATGCATAGTACCATATGTGAAACAGATGACCAGCCCAAGTCAATGCATGAAGCAGGACACCCAAAGCTAGTGCTCTGGGACAACCCAGAGGGATGGGGTGGGGAGGGAGGTGGGAGGGGGGTTCAGGATGGGGGACACGTGTACACCCATGGCTGATTCATGTCAATGTATGGTAAAAACCACCACAATACTGTAAAGTAATTAGCCTTCAATTAAAATAAACATATTACTTTTTTTTTAAAATGTATTTCCCAACACCAGTCTGTTATCTGATGACAGAGATATTCTGGTAAAATTTATCTAAGCAAAACATTCATATTTCAATTCAAAGGCAAAAACTTTTCTAAGAGACACATATGATTTCCTTGAGTTGGTGACTTAGCTGACCTAGATCAAGGGACATTTTGAATTTTCCACTTGGAATTACAGATTTTTCTATTTTAAAAGCCACATAAAGATATTTAAAACTCATATACCAAAACTTTGATAAGATTTAAGGTTTACTTTCTGACTAGAAGCTAAGATTTCTTGCCCTGGTATGTACTTTCCAATTTTCTCCATAAACTCTTAGAACCAGGCATCCACATCACAGGTGCAAGCTACCAACCTGGGAAGGACTAGGGGATCCACTGCAGAAGATAATAAAGAGAAAAGGACCTAGCCAGAGTGAAAGGGGAGGGCTTACTGTATGATTTCCTTCTGTATTTGTACTTGTTTAAAACATTGTTACTTGAGTTCTAATAGCTCTGGAGGCATTACTTTCAATATAGTAAAATAATTATGAAATGAGTATTAGGTCAATCTATTTGTTTAATACCACTGGGTTCTCAATTAAACCATAAACAATCATGTGATCAACTGGAAAGGATTCCTCCATATTTTTCCCTTTGAAAATTCCCAAATAAAGCTTTCCTTGTCAGGCAGTTTCTCAAGTAACTGAGAGCAATGTTTCATAGGTTTCCAATATTTTACTAGAGTCTTTAGACACTAGTAACGTTTAAATTTAATTTAACGTTAATTTAACGTTTAAATCTTGGGGATTCATACAGTTCCTGAGAATCCTAATTAACTCTATGGAATCCAAAATTCTTAAAGAAAAATACACTCTCTTATTTTAAAATTATTAATTACAAACACACACACACACACACACACACACACACAGAATGAAAGTTTTGTCTTTTTTTTTTTGTGGTTTTTTGTTTGTTTGTTTGTCTTTTAACAATACTTATCACCTTCTACTTTTGCCAATTTGTAGTTTTGCCACTTGATTCCTAGTTGACCCAGATATAAACATATAGAATAACCTTTTCATATCACAGGTACCAATATTAGCAGTTCATCAATCTCTTGAAGTGAACTGAGCAAAATAACAAACACACACACACTTAAGAGTCAATATTTATTCTGATTAATATTTTACAAAATTTTGACAGATTTAATTTATGTAAGGAGAGCTAATTTATTAAACACTTTACAGGTTTTTCTTTCCACAGAATAACACGTTAAGTAGCAAAATAATACTTGGCACAGTTATAAATAAAGAAAATATAAAATAAAAATATCCATAGCTTAAGTATAATAATGATGCTGTTTTATGCCTATTAATATTTCAAACAAATTCCTGGGAACAACAAAAATAAGGAAAAAATTCCAAAGAAGTAATTCATGTTTAGAGCTGAGAAGTAAGTTCCTATTTGCTGAAAGTATTTAATTAAGCTGACATGAACTATTCCTCAAAGGGTCACCCTTATACACAACTTCAGAATGGAGTTAAACTGGTTCCACGCGTAAGACCTGTAAAATCATTAGAAGGTACATTGCTGCATAGCTGGCTCCTGACCATCTGACCATTTCTGAGTTATAGATTTCAGTGGTGCTATGAGACAGTTTAGTGCTAAAGCATTAACATTGCTAATATTTTCCATGTATACAACTAGAGGTTTTTTTTTTTCTATTTAACTGAAAGACATTTCTTTCACACTTAAAAGAATATTGTACCATAAAGAAAGAACATGGTAACAACACTCTCATTCAAACTCTGAGAAAACCACCATTGTATTTGACTGTTAATAAAAAATGTTTCGATAAAAATTGCAACTGAGTCTTCATGTGAAGTGGCTCAAAATACAAAAAATTAAAACAAATTCTAGCCTTTTATAAATAACTTTGAATTTAAAAATTATCTAAAATTTCCCCCAATTAGTAGTCAAAACTAGCAGAGACATTTGTAAAGTTAACCAATTTTGTACATTCTATGACAAAATGGCACGATGCTATTGCCACCCCGCACCCATCTCTTCCCTTTTCAAAAATAAAGTACGTATGCCAATTTTCTAATATTAAAACACTCACATACACTAAGTAATCTTTTTGATGTATGACTTATGGTCAAAGAAACTACTATATAAAAATGGTACTTGGAAATACTGAACATCAACTATATACATTTTCGCTGCTCCTCCTACTAAGGCAAGGGGCGGGTTTACCACTAGATTGCTTTAATACCTGTAGTCTGCATTTTACAGAGAACACTAATTTTACCAAGCATCAGACATGCAGTGAACTTGCAGGGTATAATGCCTATTAACAGCGATATTGAACATCACTAGAAGCTCATTAGTTATCTCCCTTTTCTTTTTGGTTGGATAAAATGAAATGAGCAGCTTTAAATACACTAACACATGGAGACACAAAGAGAAAACTATTTGATAAATTATTTATATACAGATACACAATCTTTACACTGGGCTAGGATCTGTCATCAGTCCGGCCACCCTCTTCCCACTCTCCCCTGGCCTATTCCCTCTCACACGTTTCCCACAGGTCGCTCGAACCACAGTCTGCTACAGCACTTAAAGAGGACTACACCAAGCCTCACTCTGTAAACAATATTTGTGGAAGCAGTGACTAACAGTTCACCATGAGAGTATGGAAATGGTGCAACAAAAATTGATCAGTGCATCATGTTTAACAATTAGAAAATCTTTCTGAAATTGTTTCAGACAGCATTAACAAATTTCAAAACATTCAACAATGGGAAAACTGAAATAATCTTAAAGATAAAATTCTTTCTGATAGATCATTTTTTAAAAACCAGAATATACCATTAGCTTTTCTTTTATTCACATGTCTATTATGTACAGAAATCATGCTCCATCTTTAGCTAGACTCCCATTATTTTGTCTATAATTTATTTTTGCTGTATATCCATTTATCTCTATTACTGAGAATTTTGCATTAACTTGAAAATAGCTCAACTTTTAAAAATTGGACTATTTGCACATCAAATTAAATTCTAATTTATGCTTTACTGGATAGTGTGTGCTAGTATACATTCTATGAGGTGCATCATGCACTTAGTAGGGCTTTTAAGTTGAACAAAATAACATGACTTACTATACTCATGCAAGTGCTTTATTATCAGACCATAAAACCTTAAGAGCAAGGTTACTACAAATTATTTCACTGAACTAGAAATATATCAGCACTTCAACAGCTGATAGCAATAAAATATTGTTAGCACATTTTTTTGGTGAACATTATTTTCCTGTGCCTCTGAAGACACATTACAGTAGATCCCTAATAAAACCACATGATTTTCATCACAGTATTTACATGTACATTCTAACACGTACATAATACTAGTCAATCAATTTAAGACAACTCTCTTGGAATTAAATGCAGTCCTAATAGTAGATTGCATTATAAAATTTAGCTGTGTACCATAAATTTAGTTTTAGCTAGACTCGAACATTTCTGATCAGTAAACCGTGTCTGTCAACAGAATAAGTTCATTCTTTCCTCATGAAAAATGTTATGAGAACAAAACCAAAAAGCTGCGTATGTTGTGAATTCCCACATTAAGAACCAATAAAATTCTTTTTAAGATCTTTATTCTTCCCAGAAGTGGCAGTGTGTTCTGTCCATGTTTACCTTTGTTAATAAAAGTGTTGAAAAAAAGACTGTAAAGTTCACTGTTAGCCCTACATATAGCATGCTATTTGTTCAAAGGATGTGGATTCGAGTGTGAGAGAGACACGGACAGACACAATTTTCAGGCACCACTCAGCAATATGCTTCAAAGGATAAAGATGTTGCTACACGAGCTGGTACCCAGATCCTGATATTTGGTCATATTCTATTGTGTACTGCCTGGTCCAGTCCACGATAACAGGACGAAAGAGGCCACAGCATCGAAATTCAAAGAAGTCTATAATATTCCTTACACATCCATGGCTAAACAACCCCCCACAAAAAAACAAAAAACAAAAATAGAAACAAACAGAAACAGAAAAAAATAGTCTATTAGTATAGTAACTTTGAGTTTAACATAACTTTTTAACATTTTAATGTTAAATATATTTTTTCCAAACTTAAATACTCAGATTTTTTGTCAGAAAGAATCTGCTTATAACTCTACAAGATACATATGCATTCATGTTTCTTCAGAGCTCTGACAACACTGATTTTTCTCTTGTGCTTATACCATGGGTTACACTATTATATTTTAAAATTATTCTAACATCCATCTCTCATTCCTATGTAAAATGCAATTTTTGATAAAACCTTTCCTTGACTGGTAGCTCTTTGGCAAGGAGACAAACTATATCCAAAATTGAGAAAAGCACAAATGTGACAGTGTACCTAAGAGTAACAATTTAAAACAAGAAATGTCAAGGGAAGTTCCTGGAATTTAAGAATTCAAGAATTTTAGAAACTTCAAGAATACCTTTGGAAAAACAGTCAGTTTTACACCTTATGTAATTACTGTGCTGATGGGAGAATTCTCAAAACTGTTCAACTGACTCTTATTATTTTTTTCTTTTAAAGATCTGCACACTTTCTAGAAGCATGCAACAATTAATAGCACCACAAAAACTTGAAGGTAGTAGACAATTTGTTTGAGTAAAACTCAAAGTTTTAAATATTTCATATTATTAGGAAACTACTGTTTAACTCCAAACTGAATGCAAATTTAAAAATATATACATATATAAATAAAACAATAGTACAATCTCTTCAATAAATGGTGTTGGGAAAACTGAACAGTCACATGCAAAAGAACTAAACTGAACCACTATCTTACACTATATACAGAAATTAACTCAAAATGGATTAGACTTGAATTTATGAATTGAAACCAGAAAACAGAGATGGTAAGCTCCTTGACATTAGTCTTGGTGATGAATTTCTGAATCTGACACCAACAGCAAAGGAAACAAAGCAAAAATAAATGAGACAACATTAAACTAAAAAGGTTCTGCCCAGCAAAGGAAACCATCAGCAAAATGAAAAGGCAACCTACTGAATGGGAGAAAATGTCTACAAATCATGTATCTGATAAAAGGTTGACATCCAAACTATATAAAGAACTCACACAACTCAATAGAAAAAAAGCAAATAATCCAACTAAAAATAGATGATCTGAATAGACTGATGGCCAACAGACACAAAAAGACGTTCAACATTACACTAATCGCTAGGATAACACAAATCAAAACCACCATGAGACAGATATGCCACATACTTGTTAGAATGGCTATTATCAAAAAGATAGGAAAAGCAAGTGTCGGTGAGGATACAGAGAACCCTTGTGCACTGTTGGTGGGAACATAAACCGGGGCAGCTACGACGGAAAACAGTATGGAGGTTCCTCAAAAAATTAAAAATAGGACCACCATATGATTCAGCAATTCCACTTCTGGGTATTTATCCAAAGAAAATGAAAACACTAGCTTGAAAAGATATATGCATCCATGTGTTCCCTGCAGCATTATTTACAACAGTCAAGATATGGTAACAGTCTAAGTATATATCCATCGATGGATGAATCGATTTTTTAAAAAATGTGATACACACACACAATGAAACAAAATTCAGCCACTGTAAAGAAAAAGGAAATCCAGCCACTGGCAGTAACATGGATGGACCATGAGGACACTGTATGTGCAGTAAGTCAGACAAACACGACATTGTCTCACCTACTTTGAATACAAACAAGCCTGAGCTCAGAGATACAGAGACCAGACTGGTGGGGGCCAGAGCCTGGGGGTGGGAGTGGGCAAACGGGCAAAGGAGGTTCAAACACATAGACCCCCAGCTCTAAAGTGAGTGAGTCCTGGGAGTGCCATGCACAGCACAGTGACCACAGGTTGTATCGCACTGCACATCTGAAAACCGCTGAGAGAACAGATCTTAAAATTCTCATGGCAAGAAAAACTTTTCCAACTGTTTACAGTGACAGATGTTAACTAGATTTTAATGGTGATCAGCTTGCAATGTATACAAACATCAAGCCATTATGCTGTACATTTGAAACTAATATGATGTTGTATGTCAATTATACTTAAAGTTAAAAAGAAAGAAGAAAATTAGGTGTGTGGAAATTTTTGTGTCATTCAAACAGCAAATAAAATAAGTAATCTGGGACTTCCCTGGTGGTCCAGTGGCTAAGAATACACACTCTCAACGCAGGGGACTTGGGTTCGATCCCTGGTCAGGGAACTAGATCCCACATGCTGCAACTAAGAGTTTACACGGTGCAACTGAAGACCCTGAGTACTGCGACTAATATCCAGTACAGGCAAACAAACAAATTAATATTAAAATAAGAATAAGTAATCAGAAGCAAAAAGTAGCTGCCCAAGGGTCTAAGAAATTTCCCTAAATAATGAATTTCAAGCAATTGCATTTTTAAAAATATTATTTCAATTTTCTTTTCATTTTTAAATGAAAACTTATAAATTGATGGAAATGTTAAAGAACAAATACTAAACGTTAGTAGGTCAATAAAGTTTGAATTGTATAATTAAAGGAAAAAGTGAAATCTTGGTATTTATGTTTTACAAGCTATTTTATACATGGCTAAGTAAAAGAAATATTCCCTATTTCATATCTTATCGCCACTTTAAAAGAAAGTGCTTCTCTTTGAGGTACTCATTACCTATTGCTTAGTGTAGTTAGTAAGGAACTTCGTGAAGGAACTTCAAGAGAAAATATTAAATCCACAGAAATGTACGTACTTGAATGGACTTTCAATAGATGTTGTTGTGACTTTAAAGTGCTTGTATCTCCTGGCATTCATTCTTTCATTTGTAGTAATACCTAAACATGATATCTAAGAGGCAAAAGAAAGCAAACCATTAAATCTCTGAATATTTAATATAAAATAAATTTAAAATTAATTCTCAAGAGGATTAGGATGGAGAAAACAATGATGAAGTCTGTCTTTGCTTTTCCATCAGGAGACATCAAGCTGGTATACATGAAGTCATCTGTCTCTATGAAAAGTAGCTAGCTAAACAGGGAAATAATTTTTAAACAGGCAGTGTATGTGGAGAGACAGATATTATGTACATACTATTACTCCATCGGCCCCTTTAAGCAGGAGATTTTTAAAAAACCCTAATTAAAAGGAAAGGGCTTCCCAGGTGGCTCAGTGGTAAAGAATCCGCCTGCCAATGCAGGACACAAGAGATGCAGGTTCGAACCCTGGTCAGGAAGATCCCCTGAAGAAGGAAATGGCTACCCATTCCAGTATTCTTGCCTGAAAAATTCCATGGATACAGTAACCTGGTAGGCTGCAGTCCATGGGTTGCAAAGAGGTGGATACGACTGAGCACACACAGCACACACAGAGAAAATCCACGTGTATCAGTTTTCTTAATTAAGAAAAAATTCTTAACTTAAAAAATTAAGTTAAAAAAAAAACACCTGAATAAATACTGATATTTGCAGGAAATAAAATATTACTATTCAAACACATACAAAATTAATGGCATCATCAATCTAAGCTCACAGTTATATCCAATTGGATGTATGTAAATCAGCAAAGACAGAAACAATAAGCTTCGTCAAGAGTAGTATTGCAAGTCAAAAGTTCTTAATATGAGAAGAGGGAGGAGAGGTGGAAAGACAGAGGGAAGAAGAAAGGAACAGCAAATTGAAAGTTTTAACTCTTTAATTATTGAAAAGTAGGAGTGGTTATAAAGAGGATACGCTATTATCTTTTAAGCAAGGAGTGAATTTTTAAGAGTTCTCCGCACGCTAAAGAACAACGCATTTGCACATACCTGATACATTTGACACATGAGTAATACAGCCACCCACATGAAGTGAAAAACACTGTTCAGAAACATCCAAAACATCCAAGGTGAACAGGTGGCAATTTGAGTAATATACGTCCAAAATCCATCCTTGGTGTAACTGGTCTCACAGTGGAGTCCCCAGTCTAAAATCAGAGCAGACGTACTCAGATTTACTCGATAATCATCCAGGCCCCTTGTGGATGATTTTGTGGTAGGTACCACTTAGAAAACATGACCTAAGAATTTAACTGATGACTTTCAATGCAAATATTTTTGTACTCATAAATAATCCCCTTATCCATTAGTGAAAAAACATAAAGAACAGAAAGGAGCAGCCAATCTTAAAAACAAACAAACCTGTACTGTAACAACAGCTTTTATCTGATTGGTACTGTATACATAGAATACTTTAGAAACATTTCCTTTATACAAAGATAAGATGATACATACATGTGAGACTTCTTTGAGGGAAGGCACATAATACAAGATCACCTCGGGGAGGAGAGCTTTTTCCAAAACAAAGTTTACTCAGAGAGCGGCTGCCATAAAGAACTGATGCTATTGCTGGACTATGCTCTTTCTTAGGGGTGTTGGACTGCCAGAAATTAGGTAAAGACCTCTAGCCAAAACTTTCTCTCTGTTCAGCTCTATTTGAGGAACTAGCCTCCTTTTTCATTACGGTATTAATAATAATAGAGATTATTCTTAATATCTGTGGGAGTAGGAAGACTAGGAAATCATCCAAGACTTATTTTCAAGTCAGTATCTAATATGTCTTCATGCTAAGTACCAACAAGGCCTGAAGGACAGTAACTAATATTTTCATTCAAATTCTTTCTAAATTATGTTCTCAATGCAATAAAAGCCTATTATTTCTTCTAAAATACTAAACCATATGATCAGTGAATGACAACTTATTTTTAACCTTTTAAATATTCTCCAGTAGACAATAATTATACCTTACTCTTCAAAATATTTCAAGTTCTGTGAAAACTGAACTTCAACTGGATTTTCCCAGCTGTTTTATAAGAAAGAGCAACTAGCATAATCCCCAAATTTACAAACTACTAAAGTAAAGCAAGCATGCAACGTGAAAAATGTTGGTGTATTTTACCCAGCTTTTCAAAGCCTATTAAAAGATAACTAACTGATAACTCTGTTGCTTATACTCTACTGAATGTTTGATAGTTCTATATCTATTTTTTCATTGTTGTAGTGAAGTGCCTCAGTTAAAAGACATTTGTCATTATAGTGTTTTTTGTTAATATAGTAAAGCATGAGGTTGCAAACATTTGCTTTAAGGAGATAAAAATTACTAACTGTACTCACAAGAAATACAACCATAAATCATCCAGCAGATCATAAAAAGCAAGAAGAACAGGTAGCCCATAAAGTATCTATGGTTGCCTGCACCTAAAATACAAAACAGAAGCAATTTTTTTCCAGCTAAGAAAAAACAACCAGACACATACCTAGAGATGACACTGGGGTGGGGAAATGCCATGGATAGTGAGATACACACTGGACAATAATCACATATGTTATTCATTTTATAAAATGATTATCAAGAAAACAGTTGTTCTAATCAAAGTCTCTAAATAAAAGAATGCTTACAATTACACACAAAGATGTAGTGACTACAATGAAACACATTCTGAGGTCAAAAGTCTTAACCAAATAAATCACAATTTTGAGCTTTAATTCCACTGTGTGCTTTGAGGTTTAAACAACCCTATTTTATCTTTACTTTTATAAACTTTATAATCCAACTTTTTAAAGGTTTCTCCCCAAGAGTCATACAATCTTTGTAACATTTCCCTGCTGTCCCCTCATAAAATCTCCATGGTCGTCTCTCAGGCCACTGAGTCCACTTCCTTAGACTGTACCATCTGAACACTGAGGTATGTAGAGTTCTTATCTGTCATTCTTCTTTGCCGCTGTACATAACAGTCTTGTAGCAAATTTTAATCATCTTACTTTCTCTAGTTTAACTAAAAGACAACACAACCTGCATCTTTACTGATTTCACTGCTGTCCAATGGAGAAAACAGGAAAGAGGAAGTACCAGAGAGAACTGATAAAGAAATTATATCAGTCTTTCCTAGACACTGATTTTGTTTTTCCATTTATTCTTATTAGTTGGAGGCTAATTACTTTACAATATTGTAGTGGTTTTTGTCATACATTGACCTGAATCAGCCATGGATTTACATGTGTTCTCTATCCCGTTCCCCCCTCCCACCTCCCTCTCCACCCGATCCCCCTGGGTCTTCCCAGTGCACCAGGCCCGAGCACTTGTCTCATGCATCCAACCTGGGCTGATGATCTGTTTCACCCTAGATAATATACATGTTTCAACGCTGTTCTCTCGAAACATCCCACCCTCGCCTTCTCCCTAGACACTGATTTTATGATGTCTTTTTCCCTCTCTCACAACTGAGCTGATATACTGTGAACAAGAAAATAATTAGGGGAATGAGAGGTGTTGCATGTTGTAAGAACGAAGCTTCTGCGTCTACTTGAATATTGTACTTCATTAGTTACCTAGAGCAATATAAATGAACAATACATTTAGAAATTACTTACCTAGAAAAAAAACTTTAGAAATAAAACCTTCAGATGTGTTAAATGTTTAAAACTTTAAAATGTTTTCGAAATGAAACTCACCCACACAGTTGCCCACCCACGGGCAATGATGGTCGAACTTTGCTATGCAGCGGTTGCATACACCACAGTGTTTGGACCTCACTGGTTTCCGAATCTGTCAACAGGCACGTGAAAAGATTACAAAGGCACTGTACCTAAGACAGAAAAGCTGAACATTTCCTCAAAATACAATTATGAGAAAAACTATTTTTTGAAAAGGATTACACCAAGGTTTCCAAAGGAATAGATCCAATCAAAAATCATTCTTGTTTAATAAAATTTCAACTGTAACAACAAAGATGAAAAAGAAGGCTACACTAAAATATAAACTCCTTGCTGTGTGGACAGTCAAATAAACAAACAAACAAATAAAAACTCCCAAGGTGGGGCAGAACTATCAATTTACAAAAATAAGAATCAAATACCAATCTGCTATTGCAGTGAATGGTACTATATTTAATTCATAACCCTTAAATTCCTCAAATATCACTCTTCCGACTTCTTAATGAAAATCTATCACAGTGAATGATACTGGTTGCTGCTTAATAAAATGAAACTGTTCCTTAGTAATAGGAAAGTCGTTAGAAGTGAATAAAAGCAGATTTTAAAATTCAAATCATTAATAAAATGTCTTCCCAGAGCTAACAAATCTAGCAACAACAGCAAAAAAAAAAAACCCAGGAAGTGCACGCGTCTTTCAGAGCCTCTTCAGATCTCATTAAGGCACAGCACTTTACCCTGCCGAAGTGCAAGACCACTGTCTAAGAAAATACAACGTGCTTGCAAAGTTTAGGCAGTCCCTATTTGTTCTAAAAACAGAAAATACATTATACAGCTCTTGACAGGCAATAAAGAGTTAATTTTCATAATGCCTTCTGTTTTAAATGTTGTGAAATGCCCTTCTCTCCACGACTCTAAAGCAGTCAAGTGAATACAAGAACTCTTAGTGATCTTCAAAGAGCTGTTAGTCCCAATGCTGGATGCATGACAAGAGCTAGAGTTCTAACACTTGCTAGAAACAAATTTTATAATGCCCTTCATTGGTGGTTCAACAAAAGCACTGTCATTTCCCCAACACTTTACATAAGCATGCATGATTCTGAGGGTACTAAGAAAAAGGCATAGGTGCATTATGTGGCTCTTACCTGTACTAAAATTATCTGTGGACCCAAGAAAAGGCTAAGTTATTCTTCACCACAGATATGAGACTAAATCCATCAGCAGAAAGAAGTAGGATATACCAAACAACTTCTACCCTAACTTGCAACTCTCAGCTAAGTCTCCTCTTTGGGCAACAGCTATGAAGGAATTCTGCACAAAAACTGACGCAAGGCTCCTGAACACAACAGCTGCCTTAGTTCACTTCCAGAGCAGTTCATTTTCAGGAAATTCTGATTTACGTATGTCTTCTTACCTATTTGTCAAACTGAAGAATACCCAAATAATTACAAATACCTCTGTCAGTTCAAGTCATTTTATAATACGACATGCTCTTGATTTTACAATACCAAATTATCTATCCAGAACTACAGCTTACTGTAACATAACACATAATGAAAACATTTATGCTATAATGACAAAAGTAGTCTTGTTCTTGCCATCAGATATTTACTTAATAACGAAACTGTATTGAGCAACTCTATATAAAAGAATCTGTTTGCCATATGGCAAAAACATCAGCAATGTATACTTGACTTTGTGGAACAGGATAATATGTTCATAAAATAGTAGAATATAAAAATGTTCTAAATGTTAAGAATACAATTATGCAAATTACCCATTGTAAAGCACAGAAATAAAAATATTTTTAAAGCATTCTTTAAAATACAAAAGAATTAGTACTCTAAAGTTGTTACCAAAAATAAAGCAGTATATACAGTGAAAAACCAAAATCATAACTGTCTGTCGAAGAATGTTAAGTGAAACAAAAGAATCTGTAGAATTAGAGCTTAATTTCAAAAACTCATTCCAGAATTCTCAACTAAGTCAATTATTCATTATTATTGTTAAGATGTTAGTTCAGTTGCAGTGTGTAACTTAAACATATAAAAGAACATTTAGTTTCAAGCATGATTTGGGGATATTTCCATTTCCAGAGAAACATGGTTTATACAGGAATGCTATATGCCACAGAAAGACTGTGGCAGTCCATACATTTCCTACAAGAACTCATTACAAAAACCAAGCAGAAAATCCCTAAAACACAAAACTGTTTTATTATCTATGACCTGGCTGAATATGGTAACTTCTACTGTCAATGATAAAAGAATGCTCTAATTTGCATAAACACTCTAACACAGATGGATAACTGCTCTAATGTTGTCTTAAAGGTTACCTAATTTCCCATCGTGGCCTTTAAATATAAGAAACAATTTTCTTAAAATGTGATTAGGATAGCAGCGTATTAGGGAATCATGGTAAAATTTTGATTTTAAATACTTTATTAGTTAGCTTTGTGTTGAATTACATTCTGAGAAAAAAAGAATGAATAGAAATGAATGACAATACTGAATCGGAAACGCAGTTAAGGTGTGACATCAGGGGGAAGGAGAACACTGGGAAGAAGACGCCCTTTCGCCGTCTTTCCTCCTGTGCCATGATCCAAAAGCCTTCTGGCTGGGGGCTCACTGAGTGTGCCCGGTGAAAGACACTGTTGGTGTCCCACACTCTATGCTATGCCACTGCTAAGGGAAAAGGAGAAAGGGAAGAACAAAGAAAAAAATACTACCAAACAGGTACTGCAGAATATGCTGAGGTCCAGACTTCCTGTCTCTGCAAGTTCAACTATTGTCTGTGAATTAAAAAAAAAACTTCATTCAAAACAGAACGATATTCATCAGCTATTATTCCATCAATATGAGTGTCAATAGGCACTACTAAATATGGATAACCAACAAGGACCTACTGCACAGCACAGGGAACTATACTCAATATTTGGGGATAAACTGTAAGGGAAAAGAATCTGAGAGAGAATTTATTACTCCTCAGATTACACATATAAAACTCAGAGACTCAGTGAGCACAGCTGAGTCACTGGGCTGTGCAGCTGAAACATCAACACTGAGAATGAGCTACACTCAGCAAGAGCATTTATACAAGTGTCAACACACACACATTTATCTTTAATTAACCAACGTTTTCAGCTGAAAATTATAAATTTCTTCACTTACTTGTTATTTTACTATAATCTGAATACAGAAATTTTATTTCTTGGATATATGAAAAAGCAACCCTAAACCTAAGTTACGGGAATAAAACTAAATTACCTAAGAACTAGTCTGAATGGGTTTTGATGATTAAGAGATAAATGTAAACCTGAATCCAAAAAGACTTGAATCTTCGGAGCTAGATGATGACTTAAGAAACCTGGCAAATCAATTAGCAGTGAAGCCTGTGGCACCCTGGGACACAGAGCAGCGCTCTGGATGCAGACAGAGGGGCAGACTGTACGGGACCGCTGGTGCCTCACTCACTGTGGGCAGTCACTCATCAGGGTCTGCTCCGCGCTCTGGATGCAGACAGAGGGGCAGACTGTACGGGACCGCTGGTGCCTCACTCACTGTGGGGAGTCACTCATCAGGGTCTGCTCTGGTTTCAGGGACTGGGTAAACAGCTCTTAAAACAATTTAACTGCCTCTGGTCTAATTCTCTACTTAACATGACCTCTTTGGATTTTAAATTCGGCTTCCTAAGTACTGGGCTATAGATGAGGGGTGCCCTGGATCATATATACAAATATGTTTGTTATTAGAACAATTTATCTATACTATCAACCAGTTTTCTGGCCTTCTAGTTTACATGGTCTTTTAACAAACATTTATTTAATGGATGCAAATTTATGTGCTAAAGGTTTACAGAGATGTTTAAAACACTTTATTAGTCCCTCAAAACAACCATAATCCTTAGAGGAGAGAAACATGAAAATTTTAAATGTCATTTTAAAATATCAAGGAAGTATAAGGACAGGCATCTCAAGAGCATCAACTATATACATAATCGCAGTTTGGTTTGAAATTCCGTTTCTTTGTATTCTCGTATCTGCTAAAAATACTGTTAATCTGGCAATAAAACACATGTAACTAGTTAGACTCTATCTTGCTACCTTTTTCTTTTGTTCTTCTGTGGCTTTAATAATCCCTGGATCTGATTTCCAAGATTTTCCAAAATTGTAGAAAAGTGCAATACTATTGGCAAGGAATGGAAGATGGATAAATAGAAAATTGAGATGTGCCTAAAAGTTAAGGAATCTAAAGAAGCAATGAAGACTAGTTATTACTATAGATAAACTTATACTCTGCAAGATTTTATCACACATACAAAAAAACCTAGAAAAAAGTACAAGATGGTTTATTACATCAAAATGAATTCCATCTATACATGCTAGTCTATTACATCACAACAAACACATTTTCCATTGTGCTCATAAGTAAATGTAAAAAACAAAAATGTCAATTGTTTATAAATTTTAAACCATGTAGGGTAAGCTTATCTGACACTTTTTTAAAGTCAGTGAATACATTATTTTTAAATGATCATTACTTCTTTCGACAAAAACGAGGGGCTTCTCATGTCCAAAGTAATTAGCATATTACTTTATCTATGTTCATTAAAATCTATGAAACACTTAGATAGCATACCCATATATTTAAAAGATTGTTTTTACATTCTCTTCATTGCCATTTTTGCCCACATTCAAGTTGACTTTAATTTTAGAAAAAGTATTTATAAACTTGCTTAAAACAGAAATACTTTCTTTGGTTACATTTTCCTTCCTAATAAAAACATGATAAATGTACCAGGCACTTATAAATGTTAAGTGAAGCAACAAAGACTACTTTCAATAACACTGGGAAAAATAACAACATTGCTAGAGCAACACATTCTTGAGGCACGGAACACACCGTTCCCAAGATGTGACCCAGGTACCAAAGCTGCCCATGACGTTTCCGGGAGAGTGGGGCCGCCACTGTGACAGGGGAGAGAGGAAAGGCCTCTCGAAGAGGTCTGGGATGGACGCGACGGCCGGGATCTCCGTTCACACACTGACTGCACGAACCGTGCACCCCCACACACCTGCTGGCCGCACCCCACCAACGACTGCCTCAGCCACATCCTTGTCTTGTTACTGCTTCACAAATGCAGTATTGGTCTAAAAGGCATGAAGATTCCTACTCTGCTCATCTGTTAGGTCTTCATTATTTATGAAGGCCCCTAAGTACACATTAAAAAAAAAAAGATTTAGTAAAACATGTATGCTAGGAATTCCTTGGTAGTCCAGTGGTTAGGACACCACATTCTCTTTGCCAAAGGCCTGGGTTCAATCCCTGGTGGGGGAACTAACCCCACAGACTGCAGGATGCAACCAAAAAGAAGAAAAGTGTATGCTTTTCTCCTGTTTAAAAAAATTTTTATGTAGTACAAGTATCATACAAATATTCTGTAAGATTTTTAGGTATTATCATGTATACACACTCTACATTTCTCATGGAAGCACAGGTTAAGAAAGAACCATTTTGTAAATGAAACAAACCTGTATTTGTTTGGTAAATACCAAAACACTACCCAACCACTTAAAATACAGGAGGAAAATAAAGGAAGAAAGAGAGTAGCTAACATCAGCTACCACATATAAATGTGATTTTCTTGCCCAGTCCCATTTACTCCCACCTTTCACCATTCTCATTCTCCAAAATCCATGGGTACAGCCAGCACAAGATACACAGAAAGCCAAATTTCCACCTCTTTCAACAGCCAAAAAATAAATAAAATAATAAAGCTTAAGAATAAAGCTGGATAAATGTTATGTGCAAAGAATGCCAAATGCTGGCATTTTTCAGTGCAGAATCTTTATTATAACAGTTTCAAAAAGTGCTAACATATGTAACAAATATACACATCAGGTTCTTGCTGTTGTTCAGTTACTCAGTCCTGTCTGACCCTTTGCGACCACATGAACTGAAGCCTGCCAGGCTCCTCGGCTCATGGGATTTCCCAGGCAAGAACACTGGAGTGGGTTCCCATCTCCTTCTCCAGAGGATCTTCCCAACACAGGGATTAGACCCACGTCTCCTGCATGGGCAGGCAGACTCCTTACTGACTGACTCACCGAGGCAGCCCACCTGCCATTTAGGCCGCACAAAAACCCAATGATAAAGCTTGCTGCCATCCCCAAGACAAAACCGAGGCGGGGGTTAATCAAGTAGGCTAAGATTAAAGAATGGATTAGAGATGGAGCTGGTATTAAAACCTAGGCTCTTACTACATATGCCATCCTGCCTCTCCAAAGTACTCTGCAGAATATTCTGAGTCATTAAATATGATGGGAACAATGATCACATCCACCTCTGATTTAAGAAGCTTAAGATCTGACTGAAAAATAATTTGTTTTTAGATACAGAATTCCTAATAACCTATTTCGAAAATTTTGTCAACACAATAAACAGTAGACTATATTATTTACAACAGTGAATTTTAGGGTTGTATGATAATTACAGAAGAAATATGAACAAAATTTTCAAATAAAAGTGCAAGCAAATCACTCACAAATCTCACAACCAGAAATAACCACAGCTAAAACTACATGTGCTCACTTCCAGCTCTTATCATTTGCACATTCTAAAATTAGAATCTCTCTGTAAATACAATTTAGTATTTTTTCATTTGTTATAAGTATGAGCCCACATCACTAAGTCTTAAAAAAGCATTTTAATGGATATTTTATTGTATACCACATGTCAGATAACTGATAAATCTATCCTCCTATTCAGGTTATTTCCATTTTTTCCCTATTATAAATGGTACAATGATAAACTTCTTTGTAAATAAATCTTTGATCAGATCTCTTATTATTTCCTTGTACAAATTATGGTCAGTGTATAATATAGGGCATTTGAAGATATACTGTATCAGGTCAAAGAACTGGGTTCTATACCAGACTCTTAATAATTACCTGGCTATGAAACTTTGAGAAAGGCATACTACTTCTATGAACCTCAATTTTTCTATCAGTTAGAAAACAGCATTATGATTTGTGTGGTTTTTTTTTTTTTTAATCTCAAAGAATTGTTCTGAGAACCAAGTAAAATAATATACCTGAAGAACTATAAATCAAATAGTAGAATTTATTTATATCAATATAAGACTCATTATCACCACAAAAACACTGAAGCTGAGTAACATATGAGAAACTAAAATAACTTATATAGTTGACCCTCATGTTTACTAGCTAAAATTTATTTGTAACCCCAAAACCGATATTTAGAACACTTCTGCAGTCATTTGTGAATATGTGCAAAGTAACAATAAACATGAGTTGCCTTATGCACACATTTCCAGTTGAGCTAAACAAGGCAATACTTTGCCTTCTTGTTTAGCATTTGTGTGCTTTATGTTGGTGATTTTGCTGTTTAAAATGGTCTCCAAGTATAGTGTTTAAGTGCCATCTGAAGTTTCCAAGCAAAAGTTGATATAAGGACTTCATAAAACTCTCTGGCACAAAGTTTCCATTATTTGTAATTTACTGATTATCCTGCTTTTCTCTATTTAAATGCAAACAGATTAACAGTACAGCAACAGTCTAAAACATTTTGAGATGTGAATTGGATTTTTTTTTAAACATAAAATTTACTGTCCGATTTAGGAAGCCATGCTAGAAAATATGTCTGGAATACTAGTCATTTCAGAGGTCAGTGCTTTTTATAAATTTGAAACAGATGAGGCACTGAAAATGAGCAGATATGTTTTACTTATTAAATAATTCAATAAGACAATTCTAATGCTTAATAAATCTCTGATGAACAATTTTTATATCAAAGTATAATACAAACCCAGAATGAGCTAGTGAAAACCACAAGTGAAAAAATTTCAATAGACACTATGCTAAGAAAGTATCTTAAAAAGTAATCCTATAATGCTGTGAAAATTAAGAATTAGAAGCATAGTTATAATTTTGTGGCTCAGTTTCACAAAGAAATATATTTTGTTCTTGTCTAATACACAGGACAACTTAACAAAAAGAATGCAATATTATAATATGCAAGACTGTGAAGTGAAGCCAGGTATCAGTAATAATTAATATTGTTCAGCACAGTTAAAAGTCACTGAATACTGCATATCATTTAAAATACCATATACTTTTTATATTGATAGTAATGTTCTGAAGAATGATTTAAGACATCAAACATGTACCTTTATTATAATAAAACAGACGGTCTTACTGATTTTTTTCTATTAAAATATCAAATGCTGACACTGTCCTTATTTCTTAAGATGTACACACATGCACAAATTTACAATGTCTAATTATACTACTTTTTAAAAGTATATTGAAAACAAAAAACAAAAAAAGTACATCAAAATAATTTGCAAACATCTGAAGATACAGCACTAAAGGCTTTTCATAAGCAAAAGAGAAAATTAACTGTTACCTATCACAACAGAACAGTAATAAGCATGACAGTAAGAAAATATGCAGAGAAAATGATGACAGTAAAACATGAAAATCACAATTCAGTAGAAAGGTGCAGAATGTGTTATAGAATCAGACAAATACGTGTTTCTACTCTACTTTATTAGAGAGGAGCTGTGTGATCTTGGGAAAAAACAACAAATTAACCTATTTAAACCTAAGTTTTCTCAACTATAAAATGGAGACAACAATATAAATGTATCTATAATAGGATGTGTAGTAAATGGAACACAAAGTATTTAGGAAAATGCCCTTTAAAGACTCAATTAATGGTCACTGTTATTGATATTACTATTACTACTGATGTTATTAAAAGCAGCTTTGAAAAGCAATTTATTAAATATGAAACATTTAAAAATACATTAGTTCATACTTATTTTTCTAATAAAACTTTTATTCTAGCATATAGTGAGTAGCTCATCTATGTTAAATATTAAACATTTGTTTAAGTAACAAACAAAAATTGTTTTAGATAAAACCTTTATAACCAAAGGATATCATTCCAAAACCAGAAGAACCACGTCACATACATCCAAAATTTGGTTGCCAAATATATTCCAAGGGGCAATGCACTATGCATTGAATGATCAAAAAAGGATCTGTAAAACACAAGTTTTATAAAATGTGAACTCTATATTTCATTGTAAAAATGAAGATTTATTTATTTAAATGAAAATTACATCTATTCCGCATAGTAAACTTCTAACAAAATCCAGAAATTCAGGATGCTTAAATATGAAGGCTGTTTTCCACAGTAATCAGTAAGACATGAATGCACAGCTGAATGACTCAAGTCTGAAGCTACTTTTAATTCATCAAGAATTAGAATTATATTCTATTATACTTTCCAACTTTAGAATTTCATTGTATTGCTATCCTTTTAAATAGAAAGCCCACTTTAGCATATACAGTAGCTCTATCATCCAGCTTACCGCACACCAAAGGCACGTTACGATTTTAACAAGTGAGTGCAAAGCCATCCCCGAGTTGTTCTCTATGCTGCGTCATTATTTCTCCTCACCTATACATTCCCACTAAGCCTTCAGCACATCTTTTCAAAGAGAATGAACCAGCTAGTTTGGAGGAATTAAAGGTCACTATTTACAGCATTTAGAATTCAGGAAAAAATAAACACCGATGAATCTTATTAAACACTAAGTAGGATCAACCATCCATGTATGCTAAGAAGGCAGAATTGGTGAATTCTTACTTACACCTCTTGGTGGAAGAAAACACTAAAATAAGATTAAGTTTCTTCCTGAGAGTTACCACATTGGTGCATCACCATCCACTCTCATCTCTGTGAATTATTTTCAGAACTCTCTTTTGAAATTCTGGTGAAAACCAAGTACTAAAGGAATGGAAGTCAGGTGGGAAATTCTGGATCATAAATAACTTCCTAGTTTGCTGGATGGGCAACTTTAGGGCAATAGGCTCTAAGGATAAGTAAAAAGCAGAATGAACACAATGCTTAGAGAACAAAGGGGAAAATTTTAAAAAACAACTGAGCCCACTTCATATGCTTCGACTCCTCATGTGCTGAGGCGTTCCCTTGGGCTAAAACTAAACCTCATTCTTGCATGCTGCCTGTGGCCAAAGAAAAGTTAATTTCTGTGGAAAGGTAAGCTCAAGCATTACAGTTAACCAGAAGTAAGCAATATATTACATTCAGAGTTCACCAAACTCACATTCATGTCTACTGAAATGTTTCAAAATTGTATTTTAGCCTTAAAATGTTAGACTTAGTCACTAAAAGTACCTTTACAGTCATTTTTCACAATGATGTTAAAAATGTTAAAGATTTCAGATATAATTTGCCAAAAATTCTTTAACATTACATTAAGATCAAATATGTTACATAAAGGCAGTGTTCTAAATATACATTAATTTTACATAGCCAGGTGCAAATTACGATTTTTACCTGTCTGGTTAAAAATACAGTTAAAAACAACACACTTACTTTGAAAGAAACTGTACTGTAGCCCAAACACCACCATACATTAGCCCTTTAATGAGCCAAGAATCAATATTTAGGTCTGCTATAAACCCAACCAGCCAAATAACTAGGAAAGGAGTTCCCAGCATTACTTTCTGCCGAAATTCCTGGACAGGAAAAACAAAACAAAACAAAAAAAACACAAAGTTTTTCATGTTTCAAGTAACCTCAATGTGAATCACTGTTACCTTTGTGAAAGCACACAACAGGGGTGAAATTATCAAATATACCTACTATGTGCAGAAAGTATTCAAGGTGCTAGTCTGATTTCTAGAAAGAGGTATTAAATAATTTAAAAGTACCTGGTTAAAGTTGTGGAAAACGAAAACAAAAGTTATAAAAGTGGGTTTAGATAGTCAGATACAGACGACAGCAGGTACCCCCTGCTAACACATGGATGGGCTAAAAAACAGTTCACGAAAATACTACCCAACTTTAACAAATGCACAGACATCTAAGGAGACAAGCAACCAGAAGGACTGAAGGTCTCACAGCTGTATCAGATAAGGAAAATAGTATGTTTAGCCTGGAGAAGATATTTTGAATGATACATGTAAATAGTATATACCAAAGTAAGAGAATAAAATCAATTTTATTTACAGAGTCCCAGAGATCACAGAATGGAGATGATGTGCCTCTGAACACATATCAAAGGACAGTGCTTAAAACCTCAGCTGTAGTACCATTTCATTTTTGTACTGGTCTAACTGTTAGAAACACTCGTAAGTATAAAACGTGCCTGCTTCCCTCTAACAGCTATTAAAATGGTATCTTTGGAGCAACACACAGTCTATTGCCTCTCCTACATAACAGCCCTTCACAGACTTAAAGGCAGCTATTAAGTCTCTCGAGTTACCTTAGGGGACAAAATTATATGAGATATTCCAGTTGTGATCTAACAAAGCTCAGAGTGTAAACATTACTCTCCTCATTGAATATTTACTTTTTTGAAGGCCAAGATTACATCAGACCTTTTTTAGCACCCCTTTCATACCATTGGCTTCTAATGAAATAAACACTTTTTTCATATAAATGACTGTTTTCCCCAATTCAGTCACCGTAATTCATATCCTGAACTAATTATGTAATTTTAACTTAGACTAATAATTAAACATATCAACTTCAGAGTTTAATTTTATGCTGTTGTGAAATGTCACCCTTCCAATTTGTTTTTTATCTCTACTATGTGTGAATTTTGTATCAAGACATTAGAGAATGTGTAATTGGGAAGAGTATATGAGTAAGGGTGGATGTTGGTGGGAGAGAAGGTGAACATGTGGCATTTGAAAAAGTATTTTCTAAAATTATCTTTAATCTGGCTTGTTTTTAGCCAAGACATTTTCCCCCCCAGCAATGGCCACATTTTTTTCCTTATTAAAAATTAAGACACAATTTACATACAGTGAAATTCACTCTTTTTTGTGTATACTTCTCTGAGTTTTGATGAATATACACAGTTGTGTAATAAGCATAAATATCAAGACATAGCACAGCCCCATCAAGCCCTGAAATGCCCTGTGCCACGAGGCACAGCCCTGGCAGCCACTAGTCTGGGGTCTGACCTTTGACTTTTTCCTTGGCATGTATATCACATAAAAGGGGTCATACTGAATGCAGTCTTTTACATCTGGTTTCATTCACTTAGGTAATGCATTTGACATTGATCCATTTGTTTCATGTATTAGTTGTAAAATTCCCTTTGAATGCTGAGTAGTATTCCATTACAGAATTTAACACCGTCTGGTTATCCACTCCCCAGCTGAGAGTCTATGCTTGTTCCCAGTTTCTGATTGTAAATAAAGCCATCATAAACATTTACATATAATTTTTTGTGTGAACATTGGCTCATTTCACCTGGTTAAAAACCTACATGTGTGATTCCTGGATGTTTTTCAAGCTGTCATTTAATATACATATTACAATATTGTAATGATGTAACGGTGATATGCTGCTTTTATAGATACAGGAAATTTTATTTTATATTTCATTACAGAATTTTTCAAATATATAATAAATTTGAAGGGATTTTGAAGTGAATCTACCACCCAGACTCAATTTAGTTCTTTAATTCCACTTTGTTTTTAAATAATTGCAATTTTTAATTTATTTTAAAAACTGATGTACAGTTAAGTTACAATGTTGCATTAGCTTCAGGTATATAGGTATACAGCAACGTAATTTCAGTAATACATATAAAGGGATATTTATATTTATTCCTTTTCAGATTCTTTACCATTATAGATTACAAGACACTGAATATATTTCCCTGTGCTATATAGTAGGTACTTGTTGTTTATCTATTTTATACACAGTAGTGTGTAGATGCTAATGCCAAACTCCTAATTTATCTCCCCCCCACCCCCTATTATCCTTTCTGGTCACTGTGAGTTTCTTTTCTATGTCTGTGAGTATACTTCTATTTGGGAAAGACATTCGTTTATATCATTTATTAATAAGATTCCACGAATAAGTGATACTGTGTATTTGTCTTTCTCTGACTTAATATGGTTTCTAGGTTCATCCATGTTGCAGCAAATGGCATTAGTTTATTTTTTATAGCTGAATAATATTCCACTGTGTACATATACCATCCTTATCTTATTAAGGTTGCTTCCATGTCTTGGCTATTATAAATGGTGCTGCTATGAAAATTGGGGTGTATATATCTTTTTGAAATAGAGTTTCATCTGAATACATGCCCAGGAGTGGGACTGCTGGATCGTATGGTAACTATTTTCAGTTTCTTTTTTTTTTTTTTGCTTTTCTAAAATAAATATTTTATTTATTTATTTTCGGCTGACTGGGGTCTTTGCTGTTGCTCGCAGGCTTCCTCTAGTCGCGGCGAGAGGGGGCTGCCGTCTAGCTGTGGGGCGTGGGCTTCTCCTTGGGATGGCTTCTCTTGCGGAGCACAGGCTCTCAGTGCATGGGCCCAGTAGCTGTGGCTTGCTTAGTTGCTCTGTGGCATGTGGAATCTTTCCAGACTAGGGATTGAACCCGGGTCTCCTGCACTGGCGGGCAGATTCTTATCCCCTGTTCAGTTTCTTAAGGAACCTCCATATTGTTCTCCATAGTGACTGCACCAATTTACATTCCCATCAAAAGCATAGGAGAGTTCCCTTTTCTCCACACCCTCTCCAGCATATATTATTTGTAGATATTTTAATGACACCCATTCTGATTGGTGGGCCTCCTGGGTGGGACTAGTGGTGGCAAAGAATCCACTTGCCAATGCAGGAGATATAAGAGAGATGGGTTCAATCTCTGGGTTGGGAAGATCCCCTGGAGGAGAAAAGGGCAACCTGTTTCATAGTCTTGCCTGGAAAATTTCATGGACAGAAGAACCTGGTGGGCTACATGTTCCATGGGGTCACGAAGAAATGGACACGACTGAGCACACAGGAGAAAGAGGAACATTGGTGGGAGTGGGATTAGGCGACAGAGTGCTCTGTTGCCAACCTGTGAATATGTAAATACATACTGACTGGTGTGAAGCGGCACCTCATTGTAGTTTTGATTTGCATTTCTCTAATAATAAGTGATAATGAGCATCTTTTCAAGGCCATCTGTATGTCTTCTTTGGAAGGAATGTCTATTTTGGTCTTTTACTCATTTTTTTTTATTGTTTTTTTTCTTTTATATTAAGCTATATGAGCTTTTTATTTTAGAAATTAATTCCTTGTTGGTAGCATCATTTACAAATATCTTCTCCCATCCCACAGGTTGTCTGTTTTGTTTATGCTTTCCTTTGCAAAAGATTTAAATTTAATTAGGCCCCATTTGTTTCTTTTTGTTTTTATTTCCATTACTCTTTAGAGATGGATCTGAAAAATACTACCATGATTTATGTCAAAGAGTGTTCTGCTTATGTTTTCCTCTAGGGGTTTCATAGTATCCAGTTTTATGTTTAGACCTTTAATCTATTTTGAGCTTATTTTTATACATGGTGTTAGAGAAAGTTCTAATTTCATTCTTTCACATGAAGCTGTCCAGTTTTCCCAGCACCCACTTCTCAAAGAGACCATCTTTTTTTCATTGTATATTTCTGCCTTCTTTGTTGTAGATAATTGACCCTAACTGTGTGGGCTTCTTCCTGGGCTTTCTATCCTATTCCACTGATCCATATACATATGCTTCTGTGCCAGTACTATACTGTTTTGATTACCATAGCTTTGTAGTACAGTCTGAAGTCAGGGAGCATGATTCTCCCAGTTCCCCTTTTCCTGTGTCAAGATTGTTTTTGCTATTCCAGGTCTTTTGTGTTTCCAAACAAATTGTAAAATTTTTTGTTCTAGGTCAAGGAAAATGCCATTGGTAATTTGATAGTGATTGTGCTGAATCTGCAGGTTGCCTTGGGTAGTATGGTCATTTTAACAATATTGATTCTTTCAATTCAAGAACATCATATACCTTTCCATCTGTTTATGTCATCTTCAATTTCTCTCATTAGTAGCTTATAGTTTTTTTGAGAGTACAGATGTTTTATCTCCTTAGGTAGGTTTATTCCTAGGTATTTTATTCTTTTTGATGTAATGGTAAATGAGATTATTTCCTTAATTTCCCATTTTGATATTTCATTGATAGTGTATGGAAATGCAACAGGTTTCTGTATATTAGATTTGCATCCAGTAACCTTATCAAATTAATTGATGAGCACTAGCAGTTTTCCACTAGCATCATTAGGATTTTCTATGTATAGCATAATGTCAGCTGCAAACAGTGACAGTTTTACTTCTTTTCCAATTTGGATTCTTTTAATTTCTTTTTCTTCTCTAAACTGCTGTGTCCAGGAATAAAATGTTGAATAAAAGTGGCGAGAGTGGGCATCCTTGTATTATTCCCAATCTTAAAAGGAATACTTCCAGCTTTTCATCACTAAGTATGACGTGAGCTGTGGGTCAGGCAGTTTTAAAAAAAAATGCAGGCAGATCCCAAGTACTTGCTACCCAGAGTTCCCATCTTGCAAAACAGCACTATAATATCACAACCAGGATACTGACACTGACAAAATTAAGATACAGAGTATTTCCCTCACTACAAGGAGTATTTCCATCCTTTAAAGCAACTTCCCTCATCCCTTACCCCTCATCCCCGTATAAACCTCTGCCAA